ACCACAAGCAGTTTACAACAAGAACAGCATAAGAAGTTGCATTCATTTTATAGAAGCTATCAAACGTATTTATTTTTAAGCAATGAAGTCACAAATTAACATCGTGAGCACAAAAACACAAATAAATCAGTTATTTCTCACTTAGAAATTTACAGGAAAAGTCAAGAAAATTAAATGAATGTACAATATGTACATAACATAGTGAACAGAAATATTACAATTAGTCTTTTTTTAGTTTATGTGGTTATGTATTTGAACAAAGGGAATATTATTTCTAGAAACAGGACTACGACACTAACAGATGTCCGAAAAAAAAATAATATTTATTAAATCAACTTCAATATCTAATCCACTTTCTTCTGAATTGTTTCCGAAATCCACTATCTCGAAAATCGACTTTTCCTCTATAAGTGTACTGTGGTTTTTGCAGTCAATACAAAAACAAAAATCTGTGCAATTTAGGTTGCTTTTGGCACACGTGCATATATTATTTTGACTATTGCCAACACTTGCAGTTTGCCAACTCAAGAACTGATTTGGGGGCTGGAAGTAGATCCATCAATTTAACCCGCAAAACACCCTTATCAAGAACACATCTATGGCCGATAGGTGGGAGAATAATTGGCCTTGGTTCTAGGCAACAATGATGAAGTCCTGCCAGGTAATTTTCCATCAGCTTGCTTGCTTCTTGCCCCACATGCTTCTTCAGTGAATCATTGGAGAGTATAATCCATATGTTTGCCAGTGGTAAAAAGACGTGCCTGGTATCATTTACATTCTTCATATCCTCTCCATACAGTGAACAAAATAATTCCTCAGCTTTATTTATTAATGCCTCGTTAACCTCAAAAGATCTTCATATTTGAGAAAAAAATGAATTGAAAAACTCAATGAAGTCTCCAACATCAGTTTGATGGGCAGTTCCAATTGCAGAAAAGCGAGAAAGTATTTCATTATGAATAGCCCATCTAAGCTGTTTGCAACTGTTATGATTCTCATATACCTTTACGCTTCAAGACTTCTTGTTCGATCCATTTTATAGCACTGATAGCAGCAGGGATTAGAGCCTGCGTTAGGTTGAATTGGTGGAACATTGCCGTTTTCTTTTGTAGTACAGTATCTAAAATGAGGAAGAAAATCATATTTGGAATAGCATGAGTGTAAAAATACCACTAAATACTGACTAATACATAATGCATTTTATCTGATGTACTCAATAAGCGTATACATGCTCATTGCATGTACTACAGTCCTGCAGTGTTTGCATACCGGTACTAGACTATATCTACACTGAATTTCGATATATCACAATCTGAAATGCCCTATGGACTATATTTTAAAACATCAACTGTCTGTCTACAACTTGATTTCTCACCTCTCAATCGCTTCCAGTGCTACTTTTCTTTCCACTGCGGCATAACTTATCATTGCTTCCCAGGTTCTTGTCGACTCTATGAATTTAGATTTAGACCAACCGACATCAGTAAAATTGATTATTTTCCTCTCTTTCACACAACCGTGCATTACAGAAACAGCCATTAATTTATATTTCCAAATATGCCGTGGCCTATATAGTAGTATAAGTCTGATGAATAGTCAAGAATTGTCATTAAATTAATCATAAACCTTTCATGCAAGTCAGAAAATATCGTTGTTTGTGACCAGTGGCGCAGCCAGGGGGGGGTCGAACTTTGAAATTTTTTTTAAAAATTTTCACCTAGTGTTTTCGTAAGCGTGATTATTTATTCTACATCATCTTTATATCGGTTCCGTCAATTTTGTAAAACAAGGTATATCCTTTGTGTGTGACGAATCCACGATAATCAGTTTTTCTTGCAGTACCGTGCCCTCGGTGAGAGAAACGCGTTACCAAAAATTAGTTACGCCCTTGCGCGGTAATTAAGAACGCACGGGGAAAATTTATCAATACACCCGCGCCGTTTACATTCAGTGCCCTCCTACGTTCAATTCAGTTCCCCCCGTTTAAACTTGGAACGCGCTAATAGAACACATTGAATTTTACTTTATTTTATTAGTTATTCGTTATTTACATTTAAAATTCGACATTGACAGAAAATTTTTGTGTCCGTCCGTACTCATTCTGTCGTTCACATACGATACTTTGCACACTAAAATTAAAGACACAATTTATTACACACGCAATGGTTTTTATTTTTAAGTTTTTTTCAATTTCCGACGGGACCGCACATCTTTTTCCAGATCATTATCATATTTGAAATTTTCGATTCAAAGCATTTAAATTGTAACGAAAACATGATCATATTTGGAAAAAAAAATTGATGATAGTTAAAGAATTTACTAGTAAAATCATGGGATTATTACATTAGTAACGTTACGTAGCAAAGCGATAGAATCGGGTAAATATCACGAAAAGTCCTATAATCGAGACATTCACGACCGAATGAAAATCAAACATGATCGAGCAATTTGTAATACATGTTTGCGCTGGCCAATTTAAGAATAGTACCGTCGTCTACCATGGCGCGCCTATAAATTAGGATACACAATCGAGTTACACGCAATCGCAATCGCGCATTGAAGTATAATGTTACTATGGCACGGCATTTTGCAGTTATAAATTATACTTTCGATGCCGCATCATCATAAGAAACATGTTTTTATCAAGTTACATTAAACCATTTGCGTCGCGTAAAGCATCATCAGCTGTATCAGCATAAAATATTTTATTATGTTCGGTATATTGTGTGTTTATGTGGTATTGTTTGGATGTCCAGGGTTTCCATGGGTTTTATACACTATTTACTTGTTCTTGTTTAGTATGTTTTTTATATTCAGATATATACATTAACGTTTCAAATGTTATCGTGCCTATTTAACAACGTCTAATGAGCCAGTGCTCAACTAAAACTGCTATTTATGGTAAGGATATACAAGTGTTTAATATCGTACTCATACTTTTTTACCACCTTCTTAAAATAACTCAATTCATAATAACTGAAAAAGACAACTCAACGCAAAAGCGAGCAGTAGTACATCTGATATTCATCCGACAATGGGGGATCCACCTACAGCTGACCAATTTTATTGTTACGTCATGCAGAAGTCTGCGTGCATTGGCCCATGATACCAAAAAACAGAGAATATAGGACAGGTGGTAACACATATTTATTGTAGTAAAAGCGCCTTTTCCGTAAAACGTGCAACTTTTGGAAGTGGGAACAAGGCAACATTTGTTACCAAATTTCTAAGGAACATTTTAAAATCATTTTCAGGTAGTTACCTTATGTGCTCTACGAAACTGAAAGATAAATGTCCTCGGCTCGCGGCCTAAATCGATCAATGTCATCTCGAAAAAAATAAACTTTTCCAAGAAGCGATTCTCGAAAGCATCCACTTTAAAATATGTTACATTTATACGCTTTGTTTGGAAATACATACGATGTTTTGCCACGATAAAATCGATTCTATTACGTCTCCCCTTTTTTCCCAGTGTGTCGTATTGCTGCCTTTATAGGAGGTTTTCCAGAAATCGTCCAACCAAAATTGTAATTTTTCAGAATTAAAAAAAATCCACGACAGGACATACAATGTTTATTGTTATTTTATAATACCTGTAACTTATTCCAAGTGTAAAAACGTTCAGTATCAGTGTATGCGAAAGTAAAAAAGATAATTGTTCAATTATTTAGTAAATTTAGTTGAAATACAAAACCACTTTTAACTATGATAAATATATATATTTTTCCTAAAATTATCGAAATATACGCTATGTTTGGTATTATATATGGCCAGTTCAAAACGTGCTGCTATAATTATGAAATAATGAAATCGAATTCATGTTTTTTTATTTTCTTGTTTTGTCAACATATCGTAATGCTGACTTTATTGAAAGTTTTCGAGAAATCGCCCATCCAAAACTTCAATTTTTCGACATTTCCGAAAGTACTCACGAGGGGACGTTAAATGTTTTTTTTTCTATTTTATACTCTCCGATACTTATTTTAAATGTATTATACGTCCAATATCGCTATATTGAAAAGTAAAAAGACAATTGTTCAATTATTTAGCAAATTTAGTTGAACTACAAAACCACTTTAAACTATGATACATATATACTTTTCATGAAATTACCGGAATATACGCTATGTTTGGTATTATATATGTCCAGTTCAAAACGTGCTGCTACTATTCTGACATGGGGAAATCAAATATTTAAGGTTTCTTCGCAGCAACGTATTTCGTCACCCCCAATCTGACATGCACCGACCGTATTTCTCCATCCCTAACTTGACTCGACGACCCTATTTCGTCACTCCTATACTTGCTTTAAATGTATTATACGTCCAATATCGCTGTGTTGGGAAAAGTAAAAAGATAATTGTGGTCAATTAAATTTAAATACAAAACCACGTTTGACTATGATACATATATGTTTTTCTTAAAATTACCGGAATATACGCTCTGTTTGGTATTATATATGTACGGTTCAAAACGTGCTGCTACTATTCTGACATGCAGAAATCGAATCTTCGGTTTTTTTCGCAGCGACCGTATTTTGTCACCCCTAGCTTGACTCGACGACCCTATGGACCTTTCCCCGACCTTTAACCACGGATAATTCTTCCTATACTTTACCATTGCAACATTTTCGGCGCTATTTTAAGAGTGCTTTTGCGAGATGGCGCCTGTAAAATGGGGTATGTGTTACAAACCATCATTATGATTCATCGCATACAACAATCTATTTTTTTAAAAGTACCGGTAAAGAATTTCATGCTAGTCTATCACAGCTATTTCTACACTAATTTTTATTTAAGTTTCCGAAACACAACTGAAAACTAACAAATAGAGTTCAAAAACGCGAAAACGAGGTAATGTTTACAACCACGCTTGAAAATCTGTCTGAGTGAGAAAAGTGTATGAGCGGATGCGAAAAGAGGACATTGTTACGTCACTTTTTGCATCTTGCTGATTAGCCAATGTCACGAAGAAACAAGGAAAACGATACTCGGGGAAAGGTCCATTTCGTCACCCCCAATTTGACACGCAACGACCGCGTTTCGTCAGCCTTATTTGGACACCCCCAATGTGACTTTCGTGCTACCACCCCTGTAGTTGTCGTCGACTAAAATACAAGAGCCACTCGGATCAAGCGTGGACAGGCCGTCGTTCCCGTCTTCGCTGCAATCATTCGACGCTGCAATAGCTTGGCGAGCGCTACAGTGTTTTTAGCTGATCTGTTCCATCAACAGAAGCTTACAGCGATATGGAGAGTTTTGATTGGATATTTTTCATTTATGATGATGATTTGATTCTGACAGAAGAAGATGATCCCGCGGAAGCGATATCATATTTTTATCCACAGTCGGTGAGTCGTAGCCTAATCCTGTAAATGCTAAAACATTAAATAGTCGAGCATACATCCATGCCTATCATGTTGCTATACTTTGTTTATCGTTTATAATTGTGTATTGATAAATATTTACGGTTCATTGCGAAAATTAATGTATTTGTAGTTAAATCGGCAAATTTTCTAAGGTTTTGGTACGAATAAGTCCAGAAGTCCATGCATCTGAAAACAAATAACTGGCTTAATAATTCCATACTGGTACAAAAGACTAAATAAATATTGTATATCATTTATAGCCTATTCCTGTATTTTTGTCACATTCTCATGTAAATATCTGCTCACAGATTTGTCTTGAGTCTTAGTTGATTTATCAGAGGAATAAGTAAAGTCTTTTCCAAGGTTTCTTCTATTCAATCATGAGGTGCTGTGAAGGCATGCGTACATGCCTTTACTTTTTTAAATTCACGACTCAACTCAAGAATTGGAATCTTTGGAAAAATGTGACATGTTTGGCCTTGTTTGCTAGTTCATTAATTGAAATACATGTTGATGATAATTTGACTCTTCTCAAATTCTTTCCTTTAGGAATAGACTGTCTTAGATTACTAAAAGAATCGCATATTAAGTTCCATCCTGCTGTGTTCTATAACTGTGTTATTTGCCTATATATGCTGACATAAAAGTAATGCATTACAGCATTATGATCCATTATACTGTTGTACGTAAGCCATTATAAAATTGGATATATTGATATAATAAGTTTTGTAATGAATATAGCCTCGGATTTTCTCAAATTCTTTCGGTGGAAGGACATCAATAATTAACTTAATATGTTTGCTGCGCTGGAACTTGTACTGATTTTTATTGAAAAATTACTTTTAGATGACAATGGATTACCAACGTTTATTAAGTGGACATTTGATTGGTCTTTACAGAAGTGTTACAAAACTGCTGGGTAGTCCACCTGAAATCATAAAGTTTGGAAAAAAGAAGTTCACTATGTTAAAGTCTGAAAAGTTTGCTATTGTAAGATTTACATTGTGTGCTAAAATATTTGACTGTTTTAAAACTTGCATTACTAGAACTAAACACAATTAATTAACATACGTATATCAAACAGCTGAAACTTGTAATAAATGTTGCAAATACTTGTTTATTAATAACTACTACTAAATATTATTCAAAAACACATAGTATAGGTAGTTTAAACAATACTATGTGTTGTAATCGATATATCAGTTTCTAGGTGTTCCAGTGGACAAACATTCTGACATGGCAACTATAAATATGTGCGAGTTCATTGTTGATGTACTTTTGTTTTTAATTCAATCGATCAACTATCTAATAGTGAGTTAACCTTATTTTTATATCAAGTTAATCATTAAATTGGCTCAAACTAGCTACATTCAGCAGCCCAAAGGTCTCATAATAGTTGAACCAGAATCAGTAGGTTGTTGATACTATATATTTTCATGAGTTGCATCAAACTACGACATAATCATAAGCTATGGAATTAGTTAGCCAGTTATTCGTTTCAGATGCATGGATGGTAGTGGTCGTAAAACCAACCTATGGGGATGAGGAGTCCAGCAATCCTGTCACACATTATTATTTCCCACAGGATGCGAACCCACGCAGAGCAATCATAGGTGCCACGCACCTCCAAGCTGATATTCCAATGTTGGTTGTGGATGGTCTAAAAACAAAAAGGTTGATAAATCTCTATATCTTTGATATGATTCATTGATGTCAATATTGAGTTCAGTTTCTTCTCACTTCTCAGCTTGTCCGTATTTTCATAATTTCGAAAGTCATGAAAGCAGCATTCATCAAACTTACTAGCAATTTATTTTATTCGTGAATATTATCTCTTACCTGTATTGCAGGAATCAGAATTCGAAGAAAATCGAATTGATTTAATTCTGGCTAAAATATTCTCAAGTCATTGGATATTTTTAGAATTTCAGGCTTCATCTTTCATCAGTTATAAAGAGGTAAATATAATTCATTTAAAAATTGAAAAAAACACTGTTCATGAAATTCTAGCGTTACGTCCTGCTGGCTCCCTGTACCAGTCTTATTTGACATGAAGTATTTCAAACATCCGCTTATTGCAGATCATTACCCCTTGAAGATAACCGTGCTTTGCTCGCTTTTTATTGCCTCATAAATGAGATAGGGACAGACAATTTTCAAGTCACTAGTAAGTGTTCCATCAAACGGCACCAATGATGGCACCAATCTCAATCAATACGGCCTCTATGTTGCTGTCTCAAATGTCTTGTTTTCACATAACAAAATCCCAAAAGCAACTATGGTATGTCACTGTCATAAATCAAATCATGTAAACTGTTGGAGCTAGCTGAAAGCAGTCTAATCTGGTGGCTCCACTTTCTCTTCACAAAACATTTTCTTTCCTAGTTAAAGCAATCCATTATGTTGAAATGTGCAAATATACTTGACTTCTGCTCTAGACACAATGGAGTGTTTGGTAGTTGTTTACTTTTCCAAGACAGGTATTTTAAAAATGAAAAATTCCGGATGAAATGAAGAGTTGTGATTTGTGATTTGCATGAAATTGTGTTTAAAGCGAACTTATAATTGCCAAAAATGAAAGTTGGAAATTTTATCAGTATAATTCATTTGTAATCTAAAACAAATGAATACATTGATTACATGGTGTTGAAAAATACTGAATGATAGCAAGGAGGTCAATACTCAAATTCCCAGTGAACCATCTAACATATTTCAAAAAGTTGTTTGGTCCAGTTGTTGAAAATATTGTGCATACACAAATACACCTCAAAATTCCACCTGTAAAAAAGTTTCATATGCGAACTATTTTCTAACTGTTGTGTCTAGAAACGGCTATATAATGTCTTGTGATGGCTGCTAAATATTTGAACCAACCTTGTTATAAATATCTTACTTTCAGCATTGTACAAAGTTTAATAAACTCAAAGTTAACAAGGCTTGCGCAACTATGTGTTTCATGTCCTGGTGCTTTTAATGGACAGTGCAAACAGCTTGGTTCTCAAGTGTACAGGTATTTATTGGATCGCAAATACCATTATTACCACTTCTAGATGTAAGCTTATTCACTAATCATCTTACTCCATGACAGGTTTGTGCCTGTCTTTGTGACAGTGGAAGAATACAATGCAATTGTTGCTAAACAGAGGAGAAAATATGGTGATATTGAATGGGAACCACATACCTGGGTTGGATATCGTGCAAGGTAATTTCATCCTTGGAAGTAAATTCATATTATTCTGCATTGCTTCAGTGATAAGCTAATTGGCATGGTACAAATCGCACATAGAAGGCTTTGTCTCTTCACGTTGAACTTGCATACCAATTTCAATATAAATTATCAAGAACTATTCCAGTTGTTCAGCACTAGCTCATAAGTGGTGTAAATGTTGTGTATCTAGTGCCCATTTGGTTTCATCCTGGTCCTTGCTCACTGGGGTTGTTGATCAGAAGTTGGAACATCATATGGTGAATAACTAAGCCTTCTAAGAAAGAGCAGGGATGCCAATACACATCAATGCTTTTTCAGCTCAGGAAGTGATTCTCCAAAAGATATGCCAGCCGAACAGACTGCTGAATCAAAGGCCCAGACAACTGGTATGTGTAGACATCACAAAGAGACATCACATGTAACTACATGGTTTCAAATGTGTATTGCTTACATTTCTGGTGTGGGGTATCTCACTTATGTCATGTCATTGCCGCAAAATTCAAATAAAAGATAAGGGAATTATCCAAATAAAATACATTGTTTGTTTCTTACAGATAGTCAAGAAATGTTGGCATGTTCAAATACCAAAGAACTTTCATTGCTTGTTTTTAATGAAGAAAAAACAACACTGCTTATTCTCATGGACGAGTTTTCTGATCAATACAGCTTGAACCTGACAAAGGAAATGGTAGATCATCCTGTTTTTTTTTTGCGTATGGGGCTGGCACTCTAGTTTGTGACATTATCAAAGCTTCTGTGAGATGAAATTTTCAAATCTGAAATTTCCAAAATTAACTATGGCAGCGAAATCTTTTATACCCAACTGCTTCTCCGAATCAAAATTCTGCACTAAATGTGACAACTAATTACAGGTGGATGAATGCTTACGTGATTTAAAATGTATAGCTCAGGAACTCGATCCCGAACTTCGGGGAGAACAAAAGGTAAAGACGACTCGCGCAGTGTGTATAATCAATAATTCAGAAACACAATGGTTGATGAAATAAAAACTGTCATTTAATCCTTCAGGAAAGACTTGTTGTGGCTAGTTCGTCCATGTCTGGAAAACTGCAGGCCAATTTTGTGGATGACCACATGGGAAATGAAGACAAGGCTCTAGTTTCTGCTTGTCAGGATGATTTCAATATAAATGATACTTTTGAGGAAATGACGTTGACGTAAGTAACAGCATCTGCCTGTACTGAATTTAATTCGCCTGGGTTTATCGGAGTTTTGTTGGGCTCGGTAGACTGTGTTAAATATCAATAATGAAACAAGTAGTTTGTGGGTAGAATGCATACGTATAAAGATTCTCTCTTTTTACAGTGACACTAAAGGAGTCCTCAGGTTTGAAAAAAGCTTTTACTGTTCTAAATTTTCATTGGATAAGGGGATGAACGGAGGAGAGTAAATGGGATCTATTCATTCCTTTCACCCAGCTGCTGCAGTTTTATAGAAGAACAATCTTGTTTACTGCCTATTTTATTACAAAATCAAAAGTGCAATAAATGAATGAATGTATGTATTACTTGTATTCTCATTGAATCCTTTTTTTCGTCATTTCATGGAGTATGACGGCTGTAAAATAGCAAGTGGCGGTATAAGGGTTTATAAATCCTAGAACATAATGATCGATTTTTTTTAGGAAGCCAGGCATGTTCTTGATTTCGATAAAACCTTTTTAGTTCAGCACCAGGAAAGCAATTTGGGAGATTGAAGATACAAATGAGGAATTTTTAAAACATTAAACATTCACGGGTGCCAAGTCATAAAAGTTTCAACAATTACCTGCCGCTGTAGATACATTAAGACTTCCAACAAGGTTTCTTAATGATTTCTGGTGGGAATCTTGTTCAATACATGGTGGTGAAGCTTTAATTGAAACTAACATTGTACAAAGGTCTAGTAGCTCGGCTGGAATTCCTGATCCTTCATTTCCTGTTACAAAATGAAGAATTTTACATTACAGCCAGTGAAAAATAGCTTAGTCGAATTTAACTACTGTTATTTACCGAATATAATAATTGAAGGTTTTCCAATATGTGCATCACTAATATCAAGCACTGTGGGCGAGTTCTTAAGACTGTTGTCGAATTGCTGTTCTTCGGATACAGTTCCAACAATGTTCCAGTCTGTTTTCCTGAGAAACTATATAAGATAAATTTACTATAAAAAGTCTTGTTGAATTTGTGCAGTTGGTATTCGAGGCATTTGTAGCTACCTATATTAAAAGCGTTTTTTTTTTTGTTTTATCTACATTTAACCCATTAGCTTTAGACCGGACCAATCAGGGGCTTTAAATTTTGCGCTATAGGCTAACTTTGTCATTTTGCATTTTACTCTTCTGGTTGTGAAAAAAAAATCACTTTCGTGTTACAAAGAATCAAATTTACAGTGGTTAAAGATTGTTGTTGTCGCGGAAATTACAGTACCTCTATGGAATTATTTTTTCACTTCAAATTTCTGTGTGAAGACGTCTTCAAAATCACACCGTGCCATGACCCCATTTCAGCGATCTCGTCAGACTAACAAAAGTTTCACATTCATCTTAATAGCAGCAAAAATACCACAAAGACTTATCCCAATTTAGGCCTTCTGTGTCAAAAAATGTTGATATTTTTTTTCCATTACATCTGCATGCACTTTTTGCAGTTGTTTATATTCATAAATATATCGCACAAAAACAAGTAGTTGTGAGCATAACGCTAAAAATTCATTATCCTCTTCGTCTCCACCTAATTAATTTATGTAAAAAGAAGTTTTCTATACTTGTTCAAATCAAGATGAAAGCAAGGAACAAACTTCACGAGATAAATCAGTAAGCTATTTCTGTGGCGTACGTGAGAAGTGGAAGCTAATTTAAACATCGTCCAAATAGCCCTATTCTATGTTCTTCTACTGTGTTTTCGGTTCAAAAATTTTGGGGGTCCGCAGACACATAAAGTTTGAGAACCACTGCTTTCTATACCTTAACGAGGTAATCTGGATCATCTGTAGAATAAACTTGAAGAATTTCTGCAGCTCCGCTACTTGCTTTGCTGAGGACTGGTGTGATGGGAGCACTATATGAAATATAAAATGCTGTCAGATATCACAAGAATAACTGTTAATCCCACTGCTAGCCCTTCTGGTATACTTACCAACCAGTTGTTGCTATAACATTGTCCACATTGAAGTACAGACATGATCTCAAAATTGCACCCATGTTCATTGGATCTATTATACCAACCAGCAAAATCCATATTGGAATTTTTGAATGATGAGTAGCAGTTGTACAGAGGGTTTTGCAAGATTCTTCATCCAAATTTACATATGGAAGTTCTCCGACTTCCAAGCAAATACCCTTGGATTAATGAATCAGTGTTTAAAGAAAACAGACTAAATCAGGGTCTCTAAAATGGAAATTGGCGCTGGAAATATGGATACAGAGTGTAAATGTCAATAGCATACATTAAGTTTGTAGTAGTTTAAAATGGAATTATCTCTTAGAAGGCTATAAGTAATATTTTTTATAGTTTCCTCTGGTCCAAATATTCAACCATACATATTTTGAACAAATTTAGGCGCTCCAGAAGTGTATGTACCAATATGGAGATAACTAGTTTTGTTCCCCTACCCTACATTAAGTTGTGTGAAGCCTATATTCACTTGGCTAACACAGACAGTCCCCGAACTCGTAATAGAACCAAAATAAGGAAAATTGTGGCCTAAACTGGCCCATGGCCTACGGGAGTACCAATTTTTCCACTAACAAATTTGTGTCCCATATTTAATCTATGCATATCGCCTTTGCCCTGGTGTTGATTTTTGAGGATGCATGCCCAATCATAAAATTGAGGTAACTGCCAAACCAACCTGATGTGGGCGATGTGATGACATATTATCAAGTGTTCGTCTATCTTTATATGATGTTGGTATTCCTCTTTTACTTGCCAATTCTATAGTTTCCAAAACTCTTGAATCCGTTGGTTCTGAAGTCTCCCATAATTTCAACAAATGTAATCTAAGGAAAATGACATTCTGATTAATATCATTGTAAACAAGGATGTATTCCAGTTTAAAAAATTGTCATTTCAAGCACTTGACATCCTACGTTAATATAACAAAAAATTGACCTCATCATTCTCCGGCTGATATTGTAGAAGTAGCTGCTACCAGCCAAGAAAATGTTAAAGACCCGCCAATAGAAAGTCCAAATTCAATTACTTCCTGAATTAGGCTAGGATAAATTGAAAATGTCGAATACTTACCGAAAAATTGGTCTTCTCGATATCTGCAAAGCTATGTTACATACTGAACGGCCATAAAGTACTTCATTTTCCAGAAGACCTGCAATTTGTAATATATTGTCATTTGTCACATTATTTTGTGATCTGTCCAACAAATTAAAAATAAACTTTGAATCAAATATACCTTTAAAACTTTTAATTTTATATCTGCTCTTTCCACTGGCACTATATAATCGTAGAAGTCTCACCTGCCAAACAAAAATGTATCAAACAAGTCCATCGAGTCAACATTTCGGTGGGTTTAGAAAAGAACTCACCTTAGGAATAAACATGTTTGAAACTTTGCAGCAGATGGGATAAGTTCGAAAAAACATATTGTCTGAAGATATGATCAGGTTTGTGGTTTGTGGCAAGTTATACTCAAACAGGTGCTCAAATATGCTACCTAAATATATAAGATTATTATCAAACGAGTCATTCGAATTATCCTAAAAGCAGCTTCATTCTAGCCCACCGAGCTAATTCATAATTATCAAAAACACTAAAATAAATTCGGTCACTCAAGACTTATTTTGAAGGCTATTCGAAGCATTATTGATTAAAATAATGTAAAGTGTGAACCTGTGATATTTTGAGTTTGAACTACCGTATTGATGAGTCACTCTGTGTGTTTCACAGTTGATTTTTCCTGATTTAGGTTCTTCTCCTCTTCTGCAATAAAATCGTCTGTATCGTAAATTACTTTGAGAACTAATGAACAACTTGGGCAAGTTGCTTCTTCTTCACCAGCTTGCAATGCTTCTAATGAAATTTCAAACCTAAATAAGGAACAGAAAGACAATGACAAGGCTGTTAAAGCTGTAGTTTTCAAATCTTCAATCAAAATTTTACTCCTGGGATTATAGTTTCCTTACATTTTACATTCTTCCAAGTGATCAAATAATGAATAATAAGGCTTGTTATTTGATAATATAATATAAACATAATCAAATTTGATTTCTTCATTTACCTGTCTCCACAAGGACATGGATAATAATACATCTGATCATCTTCATCAAATTCAAAATCTTCAATCTCTACTTCGTCATGATAGATAGACATTTCAGATTAATATAAATTTACTTTCCTAATCAGATAAAATCATTATAAAATGTTTCTAAAATAGAATTTGGTTCAAAATATTATCATAAATTCGAAGAAATAAAATGTTATGAATGATAAACTGGGAATAAAATGGTATATGCATCATAAATGACGCCTGCATTCAACAGATTTAGCAAACCAATGAAGTTTTTCATTGGAAAGTCAAATTTATTAGTTAAGTTTAAATATTGCATCCATGCAGAGAATACTTTTGACATTAAAACATACAAAGCAGTGAGTGGGCATGCATGGAAAATGAGGTATTGTGTAAAAAAGAATGAATGGGAGCATTGTAACTAAAAAAATTGTTTAAAATATATCATATTTTGGGACTTAAAATATACATGTACAACTGCCATTAACTATTACATTCACATTCAAAAATTAATAACGTGATAAATAAATATAGCTTAGTTTACAAATCAACATGTCTAGATTCATAATTTTGAAATTTGATTTCAAAGTCTTTTATCACTTCAGCCAATTCTGTGTATAATGTATCTGCTGCTTCTGAACCATAAAGGAATTCTAAATGATCCCAATCTTTCAGTTCTTTTGTTTTAACCAATGTTTTCAACCGTGGTAGTATAGACAGAACATCTTCTGAATCTGCAAACCAATCATCAGAACCCCAATACAAAGCAATAGGAGTTTTTATTGCACCCAGGTCATATCCTGGTGGAACAGCTGATCCATATTTTTCTATATTTGATTCCTCTGTATCAAATCTGTATTTTCTAGTTTCATTATGCCATATCATCTGTACAAATAAATTCTATTTAGTATGAGAATTTGCTTTTAACAGAAATCTTCTTCCAAACTTACTTGTGCAAAATGTATGATATTTTGTATCGATGTTCCGGCAGGAATGTGAGAAATATACACAGGTAAACGATCCCTGCAGTATCGTCTTGGGCTAAAACCTGCTATATTCAGCAACATGTTTTCCCCATGGATTTTTACATCAGGATTTCCTTCAATAAAATTGTGCAATTTTGTGCCAAGCCATTTACCTGAAAAAATGCAAATATTACTCTTTCAAAAGATTCACTAAAAATAACTATCAGAGATCCCCTCTCAAACAGACACTGACATATACTAGTGGTTGCCGTTTGAAGATTTTGAGTAACTGAATATGAAGTTACGACAGCCAAAAACAAACACCATCTTATCAGCGAATTACCTTCAGTCGCATTTCGAAAACATCAAAACAAAACAATACCAACCTGCTTCTGAGTTTGGCAGCAATTCAGCCCCACCCATCATCCACTGGCCCATCTCCAATGTATTGTAAAATTGAGCTAGATATTTTATTGGACTTTTTATTCCTTTCAAATTGAAAACAGGACCAAGGCCAATAAACAAATGAATTTTTTCATTGAAATCTGGATCTTCAGCTAATCTTGCAAACATGATTAATGTTCCCTGAAAAACAAGTTTGTGTAATTTGTTAATATTAAATAAAGCAGATGGATATTAAACAGAATCCCATTTATACCAGTGTCGTGAATATGTTGCTCAATAGACAATAGGCATAAGTATAAATTTTAATGTGTCATAAAAATTTTACTGAAACGCAAGTTGTCTTGTCTTAAAGGATATGCATAAAGGACATAAAATCACAGCCCATGCAGGTTATCTAAATAACTACTTGAGGATTGAAATTTTTATACATTTTTCAGTTATCATATCAATGTTAATACCTGAGAGTGGCCAATATAATAAATTTTCTTATTTCTTGTTTTTTCAATAATGTAATCGACCATTGCTGGGAGATCAATCTCAGAGAACTGTTGCCAACTATATCTCCAAAACTTTTCATCAACATTTGGATCTAATTTCACATGACTTCTAGAGTATGTGTTTCCTCTGACATTTCCCAACCAAACATCCAATCCTGTAAATATGGAATCTCTTTGTTTATTTAATGTATTGCCTAGCAATAGTTTTCACTATTTATCATGGAGGATATATAATTAAGTTCGAGAGGACTAATGAGACTACACTGTCATGTTATCACGGTTTTTCCCACCATCAAGACCATGCATATCAAACAAATGTAAATAACATGGGCTGGTAACTGCAAGAGAGATCGTGGCTTGCAATATGATGAAACATCCTTTTTTCCCTTATGGGATAAATCAACGAAAAAACATTATGGTAACTTGCCATAATCCGCTAGCAGAAATGCTAGACTGTCGCTTCTTCCATTCGAAACCCAGTTGGCAGAATCAGCAAGTAGTCCATGTTGTAGTAAAACTACTGGTTTCTGAGTTAATTTCTTATCTTCTGCCTCGTCTTTGCCATGGGGTATTCTGTGAAGACCAAGATTATAACCATCACTCGTCGTCACAGTGTGAAGTTCGAATGGATAACCTGCAAATTTTGGAACAAAATATATAATATCCATTTGAAACTTGTCCTCAAACATACATAGGCAACTAGAGCTAATATTCCACAAGTACACTTTATCATACAAAATTCAGTCTAAGCCATCATAACGAGAGAGGCTTTTGAGTATTTCCGCTTTATGGGTTCGTGTTCCCAATAACACCAAGTCAAAATTATTATTTAATATTTAAAGAGCCCATTCAGCTCAAGTGTATGATAAAAGTATGTAAATTGCTTGGGTAGGACTTTGAAAAGATGTAAAAAAGCTTTTTAATGTGGGATAGATTTGATACAAGACAATCTAGATCAGGGTGGTCCAAACCCAGGCCCGCGGGCTACATGTGGCCTGCCGCTTCATTATCTGTGGCCGAGTCACATTCGGAGAGGAATCAAAAAATCGCATTTCCCGCGGAGCTGCCAATCTTAGACCACCCTGATCTAGATGTAGAATAAAAGCAGAAATGATTCTGTTGACAATATTAGTCAAACTTGTAGAATATAATATAACATGCTCACGCCGGTCTTTAAATTTAGGTTTACCACATGACCGTTCTCAAAATTTGGTCAATAGAACACACCAGCATATTGTATGATTTCAGGAACTTTCATGAAACATTCAGGAGCCAGTTCTTTCTGATTATTTTGCCCACTATCAGACTGCTTTCCCCAATCTTCAATTTGTTTCTTCATTGAGAGGATATAATTTTCTAACGAATTATCATCTTCTGAAGATTGGGATTGATGGTTCACCGGGGCATCACTACGGAAATTGAAGTTTTATTTATGATTTTATAGAGTCATGGATATAACAAAAAAGCAAAAGACACAAATGCAATCGATTGTAAAACATTAACACATCGAATTTAATGACATAAAACTAAACATGATTACTAATGTTGAGCATCTAATGTCTTCACATGTATGTAAATCATAGCTAGAGGTTTGAAGCACGATATTGCTTGCTAGATTTAGAGTATATATGCGGATTTAACATGGTCAAACTATCTTAATTAAATCTAGAACAGTGCTCGTCAACCTTTTTTGAAGTCGTACACCCTTTTATCGACCGAAAACATAATATTTAAAAGATAAACATGTTTACACCGACACAATTTTTCGTTATTTGTTTGATGCGGTCACTGCTCCTTGGTTCCAGTTGTACAAAGTGAGGTAATAACCTCAATTCATGTGCCCCTCTCATTAATGTAACTTTTTATGAGAGCAGAAAACGCTTGTTAAGAAAAACTATATTGTAGGCATTCCGACGGCAATGGAAACATGCTTGTGTGTAAGACTGTAGTACTCTGTAGTTATATTACTGCCACCGAGACATCGTTGCAGTTTTCAATTTCCTGAGATTTCTCTTTGTGTCGAATTTGACCGTAATTCAAGTACACTATAGAGAAACTCCACAATACCAACAAAATCGCCCACAAGAATAATATGTTAGGAAAATTCAAAAACGAATGAAATTTCCACAATTTACCATTTTTGAACAATTCGACAAGAATGAATCTATTTACAACAAGGCGATAACAGAAACTTTGGGAATCCTAGACATTCATTGTGCATGAGTTTAAACACATATATATTCTGTGCGTTATTTGTGACAAGTCGTTCGTAATTCAAGTACACTATAGAGAAACTCCACAACACCAACAAAATCGCCCACAAGAATAATATGTTAGGAAAATTCAAAAACGAATGAAATTTCCACAATTTACCATTTTTGAACAATTCGACAAGAATGAATTTATTTACAAAAGGCATTACAAGGCGATAACAGAAACTTTGGGAATCCCAGACATTCATTGTGCATGAGTTTAAACACATATATATTCTGTGCGTTATTTGTGACAAGTCGTCATTTTCTATGAATAAATTAGAAAATACCATATTGTATATTAATGTATAGCTTATGACACATAGTACACCCTTTGAAGTTTTTGGAACACGGTGGGGTGTACGACACACCCGGTTGACGAGCACTGATCTAGAAGTACCTTTTTTGGCAAAATTTGTTCTTGTTTATATAGAGTCAATAAAGCAATAATAGCTTGTGTGGTCTAATACCCAGGTTCTCCTGTCAAGTTTCTAAATTTTGCCATGTTCATATCAGAAATCCAAGTAAGTTTGATATGTGAATTATACATAGATCTAACCATCTCTTGCATATAAAGTGTGCATGTATACCTACAAATTTAGATTGAAGTATACCTCTTAGCCATCAAAGTCCTTATGAAAAATCCACACAGGACACCAGCTGCAAAGATTATGCCTTCTTTTTTAAAGAACCGTATAGAAAGTTTTCCACCAGCGAACAACATTCTACTGAATATACAGATTCTACCAGTAAAATTGAAGATACTTTATTACGAAATCAATCCTTAACCCTTCGGCAACATCAAAGTCAATAAATTGCATGCAACTTATGTCTTCTTACTCAATAATTCTACACTTTAGGATCCCATAGACAACATGGCAGCAGTCCAAATTGGTATCACCACTAGCATGTTTTGGTTATACAGTTTAGTTCATGAAGAATTCGTCCAGCTGCTAACAAATTTATCAACTGCTATCCCACACCTGTACACTTCCCTCGCCCAACTGTTTAGTCTATCATCCACGCTCCTCTATCAGTCTATGGCAAATAAGAAGAGTACATTGACAAGTCAATCTCATAAAAAGAGCTATGAATACCCCCATTCCAAGCCCTATTTTACATCTTGAACCTATGCTGCTTGTCATAGCAGCTCCAGACAATGAACATTATCTGTAGCCTATATACTGATATAAGATTTACACATTTATCCTGAAGAAGAAGAAAGTCGCCTAATCATGCGGGAGTACCATCACCCTCTCGTCCATGGCTGTATGGGATTAGTTTTTGTTATTTGTTTTCAGATGCCCAAGGAGTCTAAGAGTTTTAAATAAAATTGAAAAGATGTTCATACAAAATACCCGACGACATTGACCCTATTCCAGTATTCTGCTATTTGAAATATACCGGTACCCTAACCAGACCAAAATGCTCCGCTCTGCTCCAGGCAGCCAGGGGGACAGCTGGGTTTGCTTCCCGAGCAACAAGAGTTATTTTACAGGGGCTCTTTGTGAGACAGACCCAAAACGCTTCACACTCTCAAACACACCCTTTTAAACTGCAGTGTATGGTAAGTCTGCAAGCGCTTTCATGCTTTAGTGAGAATAACCTAATCTCGCTTCAATGCTTTAGCAAACTGGTGAAAAATATACAGATATATCTGTATATAAACACTTCACAACACACTTTGTTAAGACAATTGAGCCTGCAAACCCCCAGGCCTAAATCTTAAGCTTTTCAGCCTGATGAGCAAACTAAGACCTGAAGACTGTATGACTACGGTACCAAAGAAAATCAATCGAAATGCACTTGAAATAATAATTGCAAATGAAAGTTCAGACAAAATAGATAGAGAAATCTGAAAAACTACCACCAGATCAGAAGAAAGCTGCTCATTTCAGCTGTATACCAAAATACACGGCTGTAACAGTCAGTTACTTGGCCTGCTGCCCGTCAGACTTTTGAGGTCAAACAGTAAAAGTCAAAAATCATGCAAAATATTTGAAGCGCTGGACACCGGACATCGTTAAGGTAGGACTGTACATTCTGTTGCCTGGGGACCTTTTTTCCCCGGCTCTGTGAACATCGCTACATTTTGGCCTTCTTCAAGCTTTTTGAATCCGTCCATCTTGATGGCAGTATGGTGAACAAAAACATCGTTGCCGCCATTGCTCGGGGTGACAAATCCGTACCCTCTGTCAGCATTGAAAAACTTCACTGTACCATTAATTGGTTGAGACATGATGGAGTTAATCTAATATCACTTCTTCTGATAATTACGTGGACTTCGCTAATTGAAATAACGAACAGTTGTACAAGCTGAAGCGTGAGTGACTGAAGCAGACGATCGCAGAAAAAGAGAGCACATGTGAATTTCGAAATCAGCGAACTAATGTGGCGCTAGAGCTCCACAAATTCTCACGTACTTCTAGTTTCTGGAAAGTCCGCAATACTTTTTAATTTTGATATATGGTAAATGAATACTGTTATACACTAGAAAAAAACAGAGCCATTATATAACGGTTCTGAAAAAACTATTGCTCACCAGAAAAAATAGAGCGGAATTTCGAAATTTTTCGCGACTCCTGTCACACCAGAGCCATTATAATGGCTCTGGTCACACTAATAAAGTTAGTTATGTGTTGTCACAAAGGACGGTAAAATGATTGATAAAAGATAAGAAAAAATCGCACACATAAAAAGTGGGAAACAAACATAAATAATAATAAATTAAATTGATGTCCCAAAGGCACTCACATTACTCTCACTCATATTAAAGTAAGTTAAATTTATTATTCTATCATTACACATGCACACGTTTATGATATTATTTTTTGCATATAAGAATGATAGTAAATGTGAAGGAGGCTGGCTGAATATGTGTAACATGACTTTAATTTTATCTAATTATTCTGTGATTAATTATTATTCTACTTTTATTCTGTGATCTAATACATACACGCAAGGAGATTCAACAAACTAATTGTTTAAGCTTAAGCTGTTTCTCTCTCCTTCTCTCCAACTCGAAAGCAAAGAATTTTTGCAGGAAAGACAGAAAAAGATCAGTGGCCTGTCTCGTTTTGTAGAAAATTTTGTCAATTTTATTTATGTGCGATTCATGATGTTGTCGTTAATGATTCGTATATGTTCGTCATTTTTTAAACACTCATGTTTCAGCATATCTTGTAAAAGTTGGATAGTAGAATGTCTTTAATTTATAATAACTGTATATAAAAAAAATAACTAGATTCTATCAAATATCTTACGCATTACGCGCAGTGAGGCCTAATTACGCATAATTTAAAAATAATAATAAAAAAGAGACATAATTAAATGCAGCGCATTACGTACAGCGAAGCCACATTAGGAAAAGCGCATATACAATTGCTGATTGGATTTAAGATGGATAAACTCAACTTCTGTGAACATATAATAGAATCATAGTTTACTAAATACAGTTCTCTCACGGCCGGTTCGCTACGCTAAGTGATGCGTTACTACGTCATCAGTTTGCTATATTTTAAAGCTTACGGAAGAGGATTTCCGTTTGAATTTATTTGCGTATTTGGAATGGTTTTGGTGGTTGAAATAACTGAAAAGATATACTCAGGCATTAGGATAGAGTAGCGTAGCGGGTCGTGGCATCTGTCAATCATCTCTGCGTCGGTACCATAAGTTATCAAAGTGGAGTAGGGGCAGAGTATTTCTGCTGGTATGTGATTGCATTCATTGGATGGTAATTAAAAATTTATACCAGGATTATAGCCAAAAGATAAGAATTCAGATACTCCCAAGTAAGGATGAGCGATATAGAATTCAGAATTCGTAGGATTTGAATCTTTAGGACTCGATTTCCGCCTCTTCGGCGACGTGCGTCAATTCTTGTATTTCAGATTTATAATTTATTAATCAGGGACGAGCGTTAGGGCCCGTTCACACCAACGCAATGCGTTGCGTTAGTTTTCTACGCAGTGCGTTGAACTTGTTCACACTGCGGTGCGTCAACGCATTTTGAGTCAAAAGGTCATATTTTAAAAGAAAAATTATGTAAATGAACGATGCAAAACTATCAGCAGACTAAACTTTCGTGTTTTGCAGTGACAGAGTGTAAGACCAGATGGAGGTCAACGAAGGATAGATTTAGAAAAGAGAAGCGAAAGGAAATAGAGGCTACGAGGAGTGGGGCAGCAGCGCGGGGATACAGGGCGTGGAAGTTTATGGAGATACTGAAGTTACTGGATGAACATGTTGACTTTAGAACGTATGTATTATTTGTTTATGTGGCAGATGCAACAATATTGATAATCTCTAGCCTACGGAATGAAACTCCCTTTGTTTCAAAGAACGTCTTCAGATGTTGACGAAGACGTCACCCTCGTGGGGCTTGAAGATGCAGATAACATGCAAATAAATGGCGAAGCCGAAGACCTATCACGTGCGGACACCAGTTGGATGACATCAGCATCAGGTAAAGGTCCATTTACAAAACAACCGGACCTTGATGAAACTATAGTGAGTGTTGTCAACAAAGATATTCAATTCTAAGGCCCTTAAACCTTTTTGTGTCACACAACAGATTTTCAATGTAATAACCATGCCTTTATTCACATACAGAAAGTGTTGATGCTAAAAAGTTTGCAATAAGCCTGGTAGATACTCTATGCAGGCTACCAGTTCAACGGTTTCAACTGGCGAAAGTTAGAATCCACGAGCTATTGTATAATATTGAATTTGGGGAAATATAAAAATATTTGAAAACATTTGTTCGAACTATTTGTAGTTTGTACTAGCGTATGGGACTTGTGACACCTCTCTATTTCATTAATCGCCCATACATTTGTTCAAAGATCAGCAATGGTGCCTTTGCCAGCGCACAGCACCTTCCCTCGAAAAGTAGTTGCGAACCGAGCGAGCGTTCTGTGTTGCAAAGCCACCACTTCCGGGTATGTCATGCAGCAGTTGAGTGACCACTCTCACATCTTCGTCAACTGTTGCAGCTCCATCAACATCTCTCCTCAAAAAATTGTGGAGGCTTCATGTTGCTTTTATAACAGAGTTAATATTGCTGGGCTTCAAAGGTAGGCCTACTGATAAACTCTCCACTGATTGGCTAATATTCCAAATGTGCTTTCCACCATTCGTCATGCGCGTGATAAGCGATAATTAAAATTTTTCTTCTCTTGCAAAAGACCATTGCCAGGAAATGGTCTCATCAAATATTCTTTCAGTGGAAACGCTTCATCACCAAGGTAAACAAAGGTAACAGTTGGCCCATTCGTTAATGGCAATGTCCTGAAAATAGATATGCCCCAGTCAGACGGAAATACAAAATGAGGTTTAGGTAGGAGGTTTTTCAGCATAAACATGCTTTATTATTATGGGTTATTAATAAGCTGTAAAAATGATCAGCCTGTTTTACATTATTAATAAAGCAGATCAAACTGGATATTACCTGGGTGTAAAGGAAAATTAAAGCCTGTTCCGTTATAGAAAAAAACATCAACAGTCATTAAGTCTAAGCGAAGTATTAGCTTAAATAACCCACCTTGGTGAGGGTGGACTCAAAGTTCCATTCTGCAGGCGACGCCCAAAACAGGAGTTTGCAAATATTCCCCCATCACTTGCTCTTCCGTAAGCGCCAATGTCCACCGCAAGGAATTTATAACTGGAAAATATAAATTTCATCGAGTTTTTGATGGCACTGTTTGGATTAAATGCCTATGTAGAATCCACACAATCATAATAGAAGATAATTGGTTTTCAATTTATTCATTCATATAAAGCAACCACGAGTGGTAAGTAACAGAATTCATTTTATAAATACTAACTAGAGTGATACAAAACCAGGTTTAATATTTACCAAGCATCAACAATAGCCAGGAGTACAATGTTATGTGCTTTCTTGTAATTATAGTACAGGAAGCCTGCATTGTTATCATAACAGAAAAACCTAGAACCATGCAAGTAGCAATTTCATTTTTGTTACAAACCACTGCAAATACGGTTTCGTACAAGCATACCGGTGCCGGCACTGGTGCCAGGGCTGCAGAGTGCTGCCGTACCAGTGTACCGTACCGGTACAGACGGTACCGGTACTGCATCGGTACCGGTAACCACCTCTAGTTTCTCTTCTCTGCAAAATAGGATGCACTCACCACCTTCTTATTTTCCATCTCCTTTTTTTATCCTCCCGTTTTCTCAACCACAACAGTAAACCCAATCGTTGATTTTTGCTTAATGTCATCTCCAAACCACAGAACAAACACCTGAATCCAATTCAAATCTCGACTAACGCAGCGCGTCAACGCAAAAGAATGTGTCCTCGAGAATTCGTTGCGTTGACGCAGTGCGTCGAAATGATGCGTTAACGCAGCAACGCACGATTAAGTTAAACAAACAAGGTTTGAAGGTGCGTCAACGCAGTGGTGCGAACAGATGTGAAAGGGCCCTTATTCTCTCGCGACGAAATCTCGTGTGATTATACTTGTGCGAAAACGGCATTATTGCACCATTTTATTTATTATCATTGGTGCCGACTGCCATCTTACATACGATTTTTCGATAACAACAATCTTAATTATTTGGAATAGTAAAACATTCTTTGTTTTATATTAAATGAATTTTAGAGTTTTCCCGGAAAATGATGAGTACCCGACGTTAGATGATAAAACATTATTTGCGATTAATTTAATGCGCTTTGTCACAATCATTTTGCGCTCCCAATAAAATACATAAATCTAGGATTTTAAGTCACTGATGAATCCGTTCCTATCGCCCAGACTCGACACACGCCTGGTCGAGTGTCTGGCGGTATTTTAGTCGACGATAAACTTAAAAAGTTGCGATGATAACTGGAACTTAAAATTTGGTAACAGAAATGAGTTTGTCTCAATATATTATTTTATGAGTTTTGCTCTCAGAAGCAACCGTTTTCTGTCAAAGGCAAAAGACATTCAAATAATATATAACCATATCATATCAGTCCGATAACTTACATCCTCCTTAGACATCGGCTACAGCCAGATAGCCGAGGAGCTAGGGCTGCCACTTTTGCCTAACTGAAAACATCTAGTCTAGATTGACCTCGAAAAACATCTAGATTGAAAAATAAAACATCTAGACATGAAGTCATTGAATTTAATGAAAATCAATGAAACAAGAGCACACAAAGTTTATTATATTCATAATATTAGATGTCGAAGAAGCATCAGTTTTTGCTGTACCAATTTCTTGACAGCCGAATCAGCAAGTTATAAGTGCAACATTGTTTTGTTTAAATCAGGCCAACTGTAATAACCAGTATTGCATTCAGCAAATCTATCTTCATGCTGTTTCTCGGTTTATTTTTTGCATAGTTCATAGCACTAAAAATTGAAGAAAGACAAATTCAGTAGCACTCAAATAACTTTACAATTTTCAAATTCTGCATAAGCAACTTGAACTACACAAATTATTCATAGCACTAAAAATTGAAGAAAGACAAATTCAGTAGCACTCAAATAACTTTATAATTTTCAAATTCTGCATAAGCAACTTGAACTACACAAATTATTCTCACCACTTCGCAACAATACAATACTGTAATACTAAGCACTGACTCATCGGACCAACGTCGTCCTTTCCATTTAATCAAAACGTCACATGTTCTAAACATAGGATAGGATATACACAGTTGCGGCGCGTGGTCATTTTGACAACCGGGGCAAGCTACTACGGGACCAAGTCACCCCCATCTACGGGGACAGGATGAGCGCTGTAAGTTCTCCCATCATTTTATGAGTATAAAAACCATTCCATCGGTAACAACCAATCGGCAAAAGCGACAATTTTTAACGATAAGAAAGTGTCTTTAAAACCGGTCCAAGTCAAGAGATTAATAAATATAGACATAGTTTATTTTGAAACCTCTTTCAAAAGGAAAGGCAATATTTACCCAGATAAATACAATGACATATTAACAGAAACTTCGGGAAAGCAGACAAAACCTAAAATAAGGTTTAAAACGTTACTATGAAGAAAGGAAAGTTAATGCAAAGATAAGGACATGCGTCGCTCACTCATAGATATATATGCTGCTAGACTTCTACTGCTTGAACATATATGCAACACGCCGCGGTTTCTTGGAAGCAAAATGCTCAATAACGCGCTGATTAAAGTCATGCATCCCAGAAATAACGTCTCTGTGAATGGAAAAACAGCCAAGAAATTTAATCTATCTTGCTTCATTGTGTTTCTGAGATACGTTTTAATACGCTTCAGCGTGCTGAATGTTCGCTCTGCGTCGGCGGAAGAAATAGGCGTCGTCAAAATGATGTCCAGAAATTTTGCAGACGCCGCAACTAGAGTGTTATCTATGAGGAATCCATGGGGCGCGCAAGTTGATGTGATGTTCAAAAAAGTTTGATTGGTGTATATACATCGCAATTCATTTTCCAATTTACCCACGTTTATCATGGGGTAAAATTTGGAGACAGTAGCCAACAAATGGATGGGAAATTGACGTGCAAATTTTGAAAATTTTTTGGGGTTCATCAAAGAGAACGCGGCAAGGTGTTCAGTGCGCAGACGATCGCCTATTTGATTCACCAGAATGTCACAGCATTCCTTTGCAGACAAAATCAAACGCTGCGTTGTTTGCCCGCGGCGTAAAGAAGCACTCCATTTGTCGTCGTATTTTATTGTTTCCCGGATACGAGATACAGCATCGCAGAAGTCTGAAATACACGACTGCACAGACGTTCCATCCATTAGCCTTGACTGCAATGCGCCGTATAATACATCCACGTGATAGAATATTGTGGAGAAAAAATGAAAACTCACCATCTTTTAGCAGACGCTTTAGACCTGCCGCCTCCCTCACAGAGCGTTCGTCCCAAACCGCAGAGCTCTGAATGCCATTGAAACACTCAATGAGCTCAGACCTAATTTCGGACACGCCCTGCACCACGCGTGATTGGAGATTCCAACGTGTTGGTGCACAAGCTGGGAGACGGCGGCTACATATCTGGCGAAGGAGGTCAGAGCGCTTCGGCGAAACGGAAAAAAATGAAGAAAACCCCGAAACATTTGCAAAAAATATACGGACCAAAGGGGTATCAAGACACATATTTTTAATAACGAGGTTAAATTAGTGTGCATAACAATGTAAAAAATGCGCATGAGGAAAATCTTCTTTTATATAAACTTGAACACCATGTTTCGACCCACTTATGACTGCCGCGCCGTCATAAGTTTGAGCTATCAATTTTGACTTCGCGTTGTAAGGCTGTAACACTTCTTTCAGTACAGCCGATATCCCGCAAGCCGTGCGATCAACGATTGGTACAAAGCTGTGAAATCTCTCGGTAGGTTTACCATCTTTCACAAACCGAAAAATCACAGCCAGTTGGGAAACGCACGTGATGTCAGTTGTCTCGTCAGACTGAATCGGAAGGAACTGGCAATTCTCAATTTCCAGAGCCAAATGTTGTAAATAAATTTTATACATTGAGTCGAGCAAATCATTTTGGATATCCTTAGATGTCCCTTTCGAAACAATTGCGGCATCAAGATGATCTCTCAATACTGTATCTAGGGATGCGGTGTATTCCACCATATCCAAAAATACCCCTCTATTAGAAGAGCCAGCCCGTTCATCGTGCCCACGGAGGGACAGATCGTGACAACCAATGAACTTCAAAACATCTATCAATCGACCGAGAACATGGCGGTTTTTCTCGACGTTTTGGTTGTGCCGACGAATAAAAACCGCGCGTCCTTCATCCAACTGTGCTGCAATATTAACATTTCCGAATGTTCGGTATTTTACTGCATTGTCCAGATGCTCCATAGAAGATTGATGATCCCTGGCACGCTCGGAAAGATGTTTAAGATCTCTAAAACCAAATTTACACCAACGTGAGTCACGGGCGGTAGCAAAAAGTAGGCAATAAAAACAAAAAAGTGCATTTTTGTCCTCGCTGTAACACAACCATTCGTGTTTTTTATACCAAGTTTCTGCGCAGAATGTACGCCGACGCTTTTCTCCGTCATGGGATTGTTCCAGTGAACAATTTTTTGGTTGATAAGGCCCATGACGTTGTACCTCTAATTTTTGTTCCAGCGGCAGCTGCGAAAACGGAGTGCGAAGTAGTGCATCAACCTTATTCATTATGAGGTCTAAGGCTAAGAAATGCGAAGCCGGAAAGAAGTGAGGAGCTCAAAAGGAATGTGGAAAATCGAAAGCAAATGGACTAAAGGTCTCTAACTGATTCAAATAGCGAAACAAGCGATAAAAACGAAGGCGAGGAAACTATCAAATCTTCAAGCAACAAACGAACGAGAGGGAATGCGTGAATATGTCAACACGTTGTTGTGAGAAACGTCGGCATTGTGTCGTCATAATTTCGGGGCTAGCCCCGATCGGCCCCGATGACTTAGTAAAAGAAACAGAAAACAAACGAGACAAACGCGGCGAGTGGAAGATAAAAGAGAGAATACGATATACAATGAGCAACCGGGGCAAAATCGGCGTCGCCCCGTCGACGTTCGGCGAAGGCTTTGCGAGCGAAAAATGAACCATGTCGGGAGAATATGGCTAGTGTAGACAGTCTGTGCAACCGATATTGAGGTATTTTTCGAATATTTTTTATTATACCGATAAAACAACCGGGGCATTGCCCCGGTTGGCCCTATTGACGCGCCGCCACTGGATTTACATATATATCCCGAAGGAGAGGAAACCGATAATTCGGCTTATCCATATGGCGAACCACGGCCTCTCGTCCGGTTACCATTCCAAGTCGGGTATGGGCAGCGCCGGATTAACCATTAAACAATATAAGCACGTGCTTAGGGCACCAAGCAAAGAGGGGCACCACAGCAATTTTAGAGCAGAATTTCATATAGTTTATCGGTGTTTATTAAAATATTTTGAGTTCACCCGACGACTCAAACTTTAAAATGTTCGCCTAATTTTCGTCTTCAAGTATCCTATTACCCTTCTTTATTAAAAATAAACACTGAAACTTATTTTGACACGAAGTGGGCCTATGAGTCGTTTTCTCAAATTGTGTTGTTTTTTCTTCTCAGTATCTTCCTTGTTGCTGCATTTTTATTTAAAAAAGATTTCTTTTCCCTTCAACAATTGGACTAATGAACTATTGCACTATGTGGCGGTTCCACGATCGCATTTCAACGATCTAGTGATCAGCGAAGTCGGAAGTTTTTTTGATAAGGTAGACCAGGGTGATCCAAACCCTATCATGCTGATACATTCCGTGCGGCCCACAGACCAATTTTAGCGTATATTTGTATCTAATAGCAGAACGTTTTTTCAGTTATTCCAACTGGGGTTGGGATCTCGAGATTCAAACCCTATTTTCTAACACTTTATGCCTTTATTTCAGTAAAAGCACTCCTCTGCTTTCAAGCGTGGGCCATGTGACAGTAGCGAAACACAGAGCCGACTTAACGCCGCGCAATCCAGTTTTTTTAGCTAGGTCCCGAAATACCAACTAAGACTTGGCTTGTAAATGTATTTCCTTGCCTATCACACAGTGTCTAGTTGAAATCCAAAATGCGAAAAATACATCGGTAATTTTCGGGAATTAATTTTAAAATAACTGAAGACTTTATATATCTTCTTTAAAAGAACGCCACTCATGCAACATAATAATAGTCTGATTAAAACGGTAAACTCTCGTTGTTTATTAACAACGCAGCCGGATGGCATATATATATATAGTTTAAATGTAGTATTATTAATGCCCAGTCCAAAGGTATTTATGGTGTTTTACGGTTAATGTTCAATGGTGAGGTAGTATGTTTCACGAAAAAGGGACTACATCTTTGCTATAAATGCCAGTTCTATAAATAGCATCGATTGAAAATCGTCCTTCAGATATGTGAAATCGTTGATATGACTCAGACGGGAAATTACCTACCATAAACTCCTTTATAATTGCTTAGTATTGGTTTGTCATGTACTTTTAGTTATACATTCCATCACTGGCCCTGTGATGTTTTGAAAAATATGATTTCGACTGCACCATACCTGGCAGAGGTATAGAGATTTTTTCAAACGTGAAAAACACGTAACATGAATGGTAATTTTCACTCGTAACGGCGCGCATTAGAATGTTTACGTCTTTCAACGCGCATTTCCGTCGAAAAAAGTAACATTTTTGCATTGAGGGTGGGATGTGCAGTAATAATCAGAGGTGTGACGTCATCAAAATTATCAATTGAAGCCTCGAACTTGAATATTCTGTAAATACAATCGTGAATTTAAGAGTAACCATTCTTGCTATAATAGTGGTTTTGGTGTTGTTTTGTTGGAAAATAACACAAGAAAACGTTGAAATAAAATTAATTAATTAGGAATAATTATTAACCCTCTACTAGACACAAAATCTCGCAAGTTCAGTAGAAATTTTGGCGTATAAAAAATTTTTTTTTAGAGAAGTGCGTTTTACATATATTGCTGAATATAACTCTAGCACACGACATTAAAAAGTCATGAGTGAATCTTTTGGGCTTAATGGTTGACAAAAAAATAATCCATGTAAAATGGCACCAGACCGACCGGCTGGGTTGGGTTAAATTAAAGGCTCGCAATATTTTGATCACTTTTGGGTTTTCTCCGACTTGCGGCCCGCGAGATCTCCTAAAAAGTTTTTGCGGTCATTCAACCTAGCAACCTTAAACCACCCTGAGGTAGACTACTAGGTACCGGCAACTACAGTTGTGACTTGTTCCTTTGGTATTTTGATTCACGAGACTGGAGGCATGAATCTTTATTGTTACACGCCCTCAGCATTAGAGCTCAACCGATATATCGGCCCGATATTGCGTGTTTGGCGATATATCATATCGGCTGTGACCGGCCGTTATATATACATATATATATCGGCTATATATAACAGTTAAAAAACCTAAAAATGTTCGTAAAAGTTGTTTTATTTACTGTTGGTTGAGATTATTTTTAATGGATAATACACAAATGGGGTTTATTTTAATGTTTTTATAAATAAATTACACATAAAGGGGGCACCAAAGTCTTCAGTGCTTAGGACACCGAAGGGGCATAATCCGCCCCTGGGTATGGGATTAGTTATGTTGTTTGTTTTCGGAATGGACATGGACTTGGTGGACTTGGTGGTGGAGAGTAATTAGAGGTGCGGTGGCGAGCGTATTCCTAACGCTTTGCCCGTTGAGCCACACCGCCGCGCCCATGTTTAATTCGTTATTCGAATAATTTAATTACATATGGTACCGGTCAGCCGTTAGACGAATACAATATAGATGAGTTCTATCAATCTTATATCCATATATACGACTAACTATTAAGTAATAAATAATATTTGTTCACATATTACAGTCTTATACACATAACTTTATTTATTTCTCACTGGATAATATTCGGAAAGTTGAAAAAAATATATCTAGATTTTATAGCTAACATCTAGACTTGAAATTTTACATCTAGATCTTGAAAAAAAATCTAGTAGATCTAGCTATAAAACATCTAAAGTGGCAGCACAGAGAATGATCGTTGACCCTCTATAGTGGCAGCCCTGCCGAGGACTACACGCGCCACAATATCGCGTAGAAAGAATACCATGACACATCACTCAAGCGTAACGAGAGAACAGTGTAACATAACTAAACGAAGACGTAAAAAGCTTGACCGTATTAAGTCAACTATGATAGAATATACTAAATTACATTACACACGTTAGTGGTCGCATGGTCTTTGTTTCTATTTGGGTGGCGTATTAAGGGTTGTAGACGGTGGAAAGAAAAAAATAATGAAAAAAAAGGGTTGTAGACGGTATAGTTTAGTTCTTGTACCTATTATTGTAATTAGGCGACCAGTCTGCCAGTCGAGATAGGACAACACTATAAGGCTGAAGGAAGAAACGGATGAAGTGGAGGAAAAACGGAAGTTAAGTGTTCCGTAAGGTGAAAATGAGAAAACACTAAAAACTGAAAAAGCTGAAGGAAGTAGCCTAGAGGATGGAATTGCTTCTGTCGGGTCCTGGGGTGGTGAGGTGGCTGAAGTCACTAAAAAGCTAAAAGGAAGAGACCGGTATTGGATTCTCCCCTTCGTTTTAATTTGCTGTGGTAGGTACCGGTATTCTATTCAAAATTTTATCCTAGGTTAAGCCTAAGGTGCTGCTGTGAAGTTAACATGAAGGCCAACATACGAATGGGAATGGATAGTGTGGTTTGGGAGTTTTTGCATGGCTTTCTAGAAATTTACACTGTGTCTCAACCAGAATTCAACTCAGGTCTTTCAACTAGCGGCGTCTTCTTAAAACTAGGCATTTGCGAATTCAGGCACTTTGATATATTTTATTTTTACTGTACATCAGGGGTCACCAAACTTTTTTGACCGCGGGCCGGGTATGACTCAAATTGTGCTGAAACGGGCCGGATGAATATTTTTGTCAATGCAATACAATAAATTCACAAATGTTGGGAATATCGCAGAATATAGATCGAGAACATCCTAGGAAAAAAAATCATAAAAACGACTACCTGCTGTAGCTTGGAATTCTATGAAATTTTGACATAATTTAGATAAAATAAACAACTATTATCTGGTATTTGATTTTTTTCATTAGCGCATAAATTTCCCAACATTCGACGCTTTTAAAAATTACGCTCCAGTTATACGTAGTGCAAATTAATGATATTGTCTATGGACACCAATAAAATGTATGTGGACGTGTGTATTTCTTTCCTAACTTGATAAAATTTTTATGAAGTTCGTACAATCAGCACATCGTTAATTATTACCCACAATGAACCACTGTCAAACTATCATGCACAACTCCAGCGTTTATTTGCGACGATCTTTCGGCGGTGTCAATGACCGTTGCCAGAATAAAATTCTGAAATAGTCTCAATATACCATAGATGTGACGCACATCGAAAGATTAGTGATTGATATGTGTTATTTTTCCATATTTAGTTCAGTTCTTATTAAAAAAGTAATACAATCATTATATGGAAAAAATTGGCCTGTCGGGCGATACTAAAATTCCGATATCTTCGGTATTGTTTTCTATTTTTACTCAGATCTTTCCACTGAAGCAGTTTTTATTTAAATCGGATGGACTTCAATTTTTTTGTAACATATCTACATGAATATCCGCATTAAAGCAGTACAAAAGTTAGTGTGGCGTTTGAAATTGGAGCAGTACGCGAGGGATTACAGTACTGCACAAAATGCACATTCGACGTTTATTTTAGCACAAAAAACAAACAGTTTCGTCGAAAGCACGCGCCACGAGTGTAGAAGTGTATCGCAGAAAACGTTACGTACTGGTAGCAATGTTACGAAAAAACAAAGACGACGATGCTTGTGAAAATCTCCCTTGAAAAAAAAAATTTAGCCATTTTTGTGTGTTACTGCGGACCGGATAAAATGACGCCGCGGGCCGGATAAAATGACGTCGCGGGCCGGATCCGGCCCGCGGGCCGTAGTTTGGTGACCACTGCTGTACATCATTGGATTTTCATATTTACTTGACAAAATAATTGGACTTTAAATAAATTTTTTGCATTCCTATATCGCAATAAAACAATATTATTCTCAGTTTATTAGGGTATAATTAGTTTTTCAATAGTAAAATGTGGCAACATTGATTACAAAATATAGAAATCAGGCACTTGTGAAGTTTCAGGCACTTGGTCAAAACCTATTTTACAATGTATCTGATTACTTTAAAGCAAAAAATTGAATATACACACTTTGTATGATTGAATTTACAACATTTTGGTAAAATACAATACCATTTGTAACTGATGGAGACGTGTCATATTTTGCAAGTGCCTGAATTTTCTCGTTGACAGTTGCCATATTTTTTTGCAATTATTTTCTTAAATTATTTGCGTCAGAACTTACTATTTTTTGCTTTCTAACGCAAATTCGTTGTTCCACAACAATTTGAGCATTTTTAATAATGCAATGAACAATACCATTTGACAACATATGGTCAACCATCGTACTTTTTGGATTTATTTGAGATTGAATATGAATGATGAAATCTGGCAACCCCAAGCACAAAATACTAAAATCAGGCACTTGTGAAATTTCAGGCACTCCGTAAAAACCTATTTCCCGATGATTTTACTTTGAAGCAGAAACTAAAATATACACATTTTTTATGATTGAAATGACGTCCTTTTGGTAAAAAACAAAAACGATTGGGACTGGTGATGAGGGGTCAAATTTTGCAAGTGCCTGACAATAGTTGCTATATATTTTCGCAAAATATATTAAGCAAAATCAAAGAAATTTAGAAGCTCCAAAAGTATGTGCACCAAGATGGCGCACAACCTGAATTTAAAATTTTAAAATTTGTTAAAGTTCTGTTGTGTTTGGTTTTATTGCTTCTCCGCACAGAGTACGGTTGCAATAAACGCACCTTGATTCCGCAAAGGTTTTCACTGGTGAGAAAATAGTCCGCGGCCAAAAAAGGTTGGGAAACGCTGCTATATGGGAATAAAGTCCTGTGATTGGTACCAGGAAAATGAATTGTCGTGTGCTAACAGGACCGCGCCGTTGAGATGAGTCGTGCTTTCTATCTAAACTTTAAGCTCGCGTCGAGTAACTTCTCATTTAAAGAGACGTTTTGTGCCTTTATTTTAGTCAAAACACTCCGTTATTTGCAATTGTTGGCTATTTTGACAGCAGTGTCGAACCGCGGAGCTGACTTAGCGCCGCGCGATCCAGTTGTTTAGTTGGGTCCGGAGTCCCAACTCAGACGGACTTGATTTTTCTTCGACAATAGCACCTTGGATTCTCACGCTACAAGTAATAAAATTAGCCAAATATAACAATTCATCATACAAGGAGTGTAATAAAATAGGTGACCGAGGTAAACTGGGAGGAAACGTATTTCCTTACCCACAACAACGTTAAACCACAGTGTCTTGTGTGTTTTCAAGTAATATGTGTCACGAAACAGTATACTTTTAAGGGTTCTATTACATTTGAACCCACGGCAATTGCACCTGCATACTATTGCACCTATGGAAATTTTTTGTTTTACGGATATTTGAACCCTTACTAACCCTAACCCATGGGTTTTAGCAACCGCATATAGATTGAACCTGCGGATATACACGTGGGTTATGGGTTCAAATGTACAGTCACCACTTTTAAGACATTACAAAACCAAACACGAGGAAAGATACCAAACATACCACGTTATTTCTTGGCAAGCAATTTAATAACTAAAGGCTTTATATATCCTCCTCAAAAAACTGATTAGAGCGGTAAAATCTCATTCATAAATATATTTAAAGTGAGTAAATTCGCTATGTTTTGATCACTTTTGGGTTTTCTCCGATTGCGGCCCGCGAGACGTTTTCAAAAGTTTTTGCGCCCGTCAACCTCGCAACACTGGACCACCCTGGTTTACAACCATATTATACAAATATATACTGGAACACGAACAGCAACATAAAGTCAAATTGTACAGTAATGCTTATGATAAAATATGATTGTGATATATAGAATGTATTGGAAATGTTTAAACATGTCATCGCTTGAGATTATTGACATTGAATTCCATATCAGCCCAATTTCACACCTTAATTTAATAATAATTATTGAATCTGGAGAAAATCTTGTCGGGGCAAGTTGAATCAAATTGGCAATGTATTCGTACATCTCTAGTCTAAATTTGCACCTTAGAATATTCTTATAGCTATTCTAGAAATGATCCAAATAACCTGACATCGATAGTTGTTTTACTTCATGCAATATTTAGATTAAAGTATTTTATATTCGGTAACATATATTTATTATATTTCACTGGATTGAAAGCGTCCTACTGTCCTAGTTTGAATGTACAGGCGAAACAGCAAAAAAAGTAAAAACCGTCATTATATAAAAGTTGGTTGCCCGTACAAAGAATATTTATTAAAGACACCAGCATGAATTTGGATAAGGCCACTAATGAGGAGAAATTGGATTTATGCCAAAAATATTACTATGGAGGATTTATATGCCTGCCATTTTTGTGGGCTGTGAATGTTGTATGGTTTGCAAAGGAGGCATTTATTAAACAACCTTACGAAGAACAACCGAGAATTCGTACTTGTGTGATAAGATCAGCAATAGGAGCTACCTTATGGATTGCAGGACTTTTGACTTGGATTATAATATTTCAATTGAACAGAGCTAGTTGGGGAGCCTTTGCTGATCAAATATCTTTTATAATACCACAAGGTATACCTTGATTGATGGGTTTTATCTTCATTCAAGCATTTGGTGGGCAGGACATTCTGATGGTGAAACTGTTACTTTAATTTTGCCGATGTTTTTTTAAAATAATGCATCTCTATGTCTACACTTTGTAGTACTGGAAATACGGATTCAAGTGAACTGTATATAAAATTTTGAATATGGCTTTTCTATTTATATTATCGTATATAGCCTATATATAGGGGAAGTCACTTATGTTTACATGATTGTTCTATAAAACCATATATGATTCTATTGAACTCAAGAGAACTGACATTGATTTTACTACATTTCCATTTCTCCAATTGTCAACTATTCTACACTAATATCATGGATTTGAGATGTAGAATTATTAGATTGTGGCGTCGGCGAACTGAATGTATTATTATGAAAAAATAGTCAAATTAGCCATGGTATGTCATTCCAGAATATCAAACCTCATCGCCTTCGAATAGTTCCTTCTTTATTACTTGTATATTATGATGTTACTTTTCGAGTTTAATAACATCAAGATTAGCTTTATTCTCTTGCATTTTTTGCATGATATTTGAATTAATTTTTGGTTTTTCTGTGAATTTATTCAAAGGTTTTATATGCCTCTTCGATAATTTTTTAAGATATTAGTAAAGACTATTTGGATATATATGTGGTATCACTGGTATATATTTTTGATGATAAAATTGACTTCTCAAATTCTGATGTTGGTGATTACTGGAAATAGCAAAACAGTTGAAAGCGAGGGCATACTTATAAATTTTGAAGCTGGATTATTTTAACTTTTGTGGTTGAAGAATTTTAATCCTTAGCTTACATTACCTCTTCACATAAGCTATGTCTCTTTTCCTATTATTCAGTAGGTCCTCTTCAATACTTTCGAATATATTTATTAAAATTATGCTTGATTGTTGAATACAATTAACATATCACAAATTGTATATTCCTATCTATACATCTTTTTGTTCTTACATTTTGATTTTTACATGTTATAATAAAGTAATTTTGATATGAATACAAACAATGATGCAGTCAGAATCTATGGAGATCCTGATATTGTTGAAGAGATCGGAAAAACCAGTCTGTCTGAAGAATTACCAAAATCTAAGGAGTTAGAGACTAAAGATGTCATTCAACAAAATTCTCCAGTAAATGACCATAGTTCCAATAAGCAAAAGTGAGTTTCTTTCAAACATTCAGAGCATTTCTAGTCGGTAAAATATATCCAATTTCTCAGTATTTAGGTTATACGATTTCTCGTGGGGTGGTTTCAACCAGCGATGTCCAGTACGAGTCAAATTTTTGAATATATTCGAAATTCATAATGATATGGCATAAAAAAAATTTAATTTAGGAACAATTCAGAATATAGCATTCTGAGCCATCGTTTTAGATGCAAACAAAGATATAGTTTTGTGTAATTTTCCACATAAACTTGCCCCCAATTTAGAATGTATTCAATATTCTCTATTCAAATTTTATTTCTCAGAGTAGTGAAATATTCGATCTTGGCCATCCCTGGTTACAACTTATAAGACTAGGGCTTTTATTCCAATAATTGGTATGGTGTATGCCTGGACTAGTAAAACGACTAAATTTCCACTTTTAGTCGAAGATTTTTTTTGTAGCAAATTTTCATGAAAATAATCCATTGATGATGTAAAATTCTCACTTAGAGATATTGTCTGTATAGGAACACTGTGATAAAGAGTGTTCTATCATGTAATATTAGCAATACCTATTCCTTCTGGAGTTATGTCAAGTGCTTTGTTGAACAATGAGGACAAAATTTCAAAGCTCTTTAATTTTAGTTTTAACACAATTAGAACCTGTACTTATGGTTAAAGCACACTCTTCAAGTAATGGAGATATTTACAAAAAATATTTGTTGTACGTTGAGTTTATCTCCAGGCAGGAAAATAAAGAAAAAAAGGTCACTTCTGAGATTATTAGTCTTATAGTTTTTTAATTTCTATGATCCATGGTCCTTTACCAGAGACTCTCAACACTTGGGGCCCCTGCATTTTTACCGCATATCAATCAGTTATTTATGTGCCCGATTTAATAATAAAAAGCCAATTTGGGGGGCACTTCAATCTCCTTTTGAAAGCTATTTAATTGATTCCTAATTCAGAAACATAACAACATTGTGTTGTTGTGGTCAATCTAATGATGAGAATGATTCTGCTAGTTTGGAACCTGCTGGATCAACTGCTTTATATCATCAACAAGTTGAACAAACGGAAAATAAGCAACAGAAAGGTATATTGTTATTATTATTAAGATTATGAAATACTGAAATTGTATTGAACTTGGCGAATGCAATTATGGAAGTTAGGCTTAATAATACAATATATGAAATTCAATGAAGCTCAAGTTATCCCTATCCCTGAAAAAAAAGTTTTGTATTCTAAGTAAATAAGCATATCAATGTGTAATTGGTTTTTGAATGTAGACGCATGAAGTTGTACATTGCTATTATTAAAGATTTAGAACTACTAGACTTACTGGCATTAATAATTAATCGAATTTAAGCTACCGGTAAATAAACATGACCTACACAGTCAGCTTAGTAAATGACTCTCTCAAAAAAGTATAATGTAGTCAAAGTTAATTAAAATATGTATATCAAAATAGTCGGATTAGTTTTTGAATGCAAGTGCATGAACTGGTTTACATTGTACATTGCTGGAAGACAAGTGGTTTGCAACCCTTGCAATGGACCTTTTAATGACTGGTTGTGGATTCCTTTCAATAAAAACATGTAATGTTGTTGAGTAGTGCAGACGAAACTGGGTAAAACGTTTATATGAACTTGATTAATAAAAACTTCTCGAATAGTTCTCAGAATGAAATGGACCCTTCTATATATGAATAATATCTTGGTTACATTGTGGCTGGCTAATGGTCATTTTACCATTTCATTTTTAACTTATGGAAGCCTCAAGATCTATCTGTGGGACACTGAAAATCCATGGACCTCCACTGTACTAAAGTTACTTTTAATGAAAGATTATGTTTTACTCTCTTTCCAGATCTTTCGTTTGAAATGAGATCATTCCTGGACAGTCCTGTCTACTACATATATGTGATAATTGTTTCTTTCACTCTTTCAATTCTTTTATTGGTTGAACTTTTCATTGATGCAGGACTATTTCATGGTAAGTTGGTTATTATATTTTCATTTACACACCATTGATCTCTTATTACATAATTGGCGAGTTAAAACATAGGTAAGAACGCTCATGTGAGATATTCGTTGAACAAACTTTTCAATTCGTTTCTAATATTTTAAGTATGGATATCATTATGGAATATTTATATATTGGTTTATCAGATATTTGATTTTGAATAATATAGGTTTTAGCATGATTGAAGATATTATGACTTGCTCTTGCTAAAAATCAGTAATTTTGATTTTTCCAAATCTTGAAGATATCTTTCGCATTCGACTCAAATTTAAATTTTAAATCTAATCTTTGAGGTTTTTTTTTTATCTTTTTTAATACAAACTGCGTTTTAATAATATTGTTCAGTGGATGACTCTGAGGCAATCCGACAATCAACCCCACAACATGACAATACTAAAAGTGTGTCTACAGCTCTTCATTGGTTTTCATTTGCTTTGCTGGCAATATTTTTCATTGAGGTATGTACCGTATTCATTTTTTTAGCATATTTTCATATTATGTATGCTATGTTTTCAGGAATACCTCGGCATCTTTGTGATATCTGAACATAATTTGATTGAATTTGATTCGAACCTAAGTAATAATATCATTTTAGAAATTTGTAAACATCTGAGAGTGGCTATTCTTTTTTTTTTATTCACATGCAACATGATGTTAGACCTTGATTTCCAGTTTGATTCTTCATGAAATCCCATATTCAAAATTTTATCAAATGTGTTTGAGTATACCATATATATAACCTGACAGAAAATTATTTGATGCCACTTTGGTATGCGATCTCACTTGGTTAACGTGATCTCACTCGCATTTCAAAGTGGCACCACAATTGGTCTCATAATGAAATTCTCTTCGAATTCAGTTGTTAATCCTAACACTAGATAAAATTACTGAGATCGCATACCAAAGAAGCACCAATTATTTTTTTTAAGTTATTTTGGAAAATCTTTATGGTCTGATTTTTTAGGATCTGTTTTCTTCGTTGCGATTTATATCATGAATCACGAGTCTCAGATGATCCAGTAAATTTGTTTACTGTCGTTATGAAATATTTATCGCCTCAGGGCTCAGTTGAATATTGTTTTTTAGTCATATTAATCATCCCAAATTTTAAAAAATATCTCCTAGTTGAAAAGCCTAAATCCCATGCTTTTGGATTTTTTTTACTTTTGCACTCATATTCCTTTTTCGATTTCCTTGGTTTTTGATTGAATATTCACTAGTCGCTACCTGTATCCATGACACAAATGTAATCCATTTAATTCATCATCCTCAGTATCTGAGGGGTCTTTATAAGATTTTCAATTATTAGTTTTTAGTGAGTGAATATAAATGAATCAAAGTATTTTGCTCACTCATAATCTTATTTTGTTTTAAGATTATAGTTCGAGGAGTTGCATGGAGATTTGCTTTGGCAAGAGATTTTGTTTCGGTTAGTATTTTTCTTACTTAAAATCCTAACTTTTACTTTCATTACTCTCTTGGTGGCAAATATGACTCTGTTTCGAAATGAGCTTAATTTTCGTTTTGTTCTCATTCTAACTGTAAAGTAAGGTAAAAAGTTAATAACTGATCCAATTTTGTTCTTCATTGTCAGATATTCGACTGCATTGTCGTGTTTGTTGCATTTATATCGAATCTTTGTGTATCATTGATAGCAGGGGCTGATAGTCCAATTGACGGGATAAGCTTGATTATAATCTGCAGATTGATACGAATTCACTCTTTAATCAAAGGTAAGTGAAAATCTTGTAATGCGTTCGTATGTAGTGTATTAAGAAGACTGTGGGTCATATTTAATCAAAGTTTGCATCAATGACAAACATGCTTTTGCTTTTCTTCCGCAAGTCTTATAATATTGGCTCATGGCTGGTAATGTGTAATTTTAACCTTCACACATGTCACACCTATACCTTGACTGGGGCAATTTCTCATTTTATGGAATCTATGCAAAAAAATATGTAATGGGTTATTAAGGGCGCAATTCAAATCTGTTGAGTCTGTGACATCATAAATGGAAATACAAAAGGCACATCTTCGATAGAGTTGTAACACTGCGCACTTGTCAACATAAGCCTTGTCTATATCTATTTTCCAAGCGCTGTTGTAGCAGTTGAACTATTTTAGGATGTATGTTCTATATTTCTTTGTTTTTGATACCAATACATTGACGATTGTCACCATGGTTTCTACATTGACTTTCGTTAATTTTGAGCACCCATCGGGTGATTTGTTATCTCTCAATTGTAGGGATGGGCCGGGATTCGGATCCGGACTCGGATTCGAGTTGAATCCAGGCATTTTTTGGACTCGGATTCGATTTCGAGTCCACATCATTTTTACCGAGTCCATAATCAATTCTGTTTTTACTAATTTACGCCTATGTTTGTACTTTTACCTCTTTAAATCCCACTACATACCTTAACTAGTAAAATTCATAGTTAGATCTGTAACAATATCTGTCGTGTACATTATAAACACTCCTAATAAAACGACGACATATATCCAGATAATATAACGCAAGTTGAAAACTATTGGTCGCTTATAACAATGATGTTGCGCCAGTCGCCTTCAAACTATCTATCCTTTTCGGTATACATGTGGTACACAATAAAATATGTGTTAAATAATGTGGTGTTATATCAAAAAGCTACTGCAATACACAATTTCGACAAATATTGTTTTGCACTACCGCTAATTTAGTATTTATTTTTCTTTATGCAAGTTAAAGTAAGAATGGTGAAGAGAAGATATGAAGCACGACTGCAGCAAAATGAAAGAGAACTATATACTGCAAACTGTAAAATAAGCACTCAATACAGACAAATTAAAGAAAAAGATGTGAGTACTGAATACTACTGATACTGATATATCAAACCTAGTTGCCTCTGGCAATTAAATGATTAAATGATGTAATTAAATGATTATTTCTAAACAAAATCAATTGAATACAAATTTAGATATAAGATTAAATACTGATATTGAAAAAAATTGAGAAAATTAATTTCTAATATAAAGATGGGATGGCTCCAGTAGTATGTGTACCAACATGGAGTTTTTTTCGCCTACCTTACATCAAGTTGTGTAAAGGGACGGAAGCATGTGGGCTGGGCGTATATTTACTTGGCTAACACAGACAGTCCCCGAACTCGTAATAGAACTAAAATAAGAAAATCAGAATAAATTATGGCCTAACGCTAACCTGGTACACCTACTATGGGAGTACCCGAAATGTTATTTAATTGACTGCTTGGTGACTGTCATCCAATATTACCACAAAAGCTTGTTATCGTATATATATATATGAATATGTATTATCCAGATTCAATGTAAAACTTATCAATTACTGGTAGTCGAAACTGGTTATATCATGCTTAATTGCTACTTTGATGTTTGTAATCTTATAGTGATAATTACCTGACAGCGTAATTATATTGTGTAAAATGAAAAAGGTCAAACGAGGTTGAATTTTTGAACTTGAAGGTGTTGTTATGTTAGATTCAAAAACTTAGCCTTGAGCTGTTTATTTCTTTATTAGGAGTCTGGATTGTTTGATAAGTTCATCGATAGTCACCACATAAACCGTAAGAAGACAGTGTTACAGAAATGCGATATGCAAACTTAAGTTGTTGTTCCAAATGCTTTATAAATAAATCTTTTGTGCTGTCAATAATTGTTAAAATAAATGAAAGTTTAAAAATAGAAACATGGTATGGACTTTCAATTCATTTATGAATTTGTCGTGGTAATATTATGTTTTTGTTATTCCATTTTTTTCTCGATGAAAACAACCTGTAGCGCACTATAACATGAGTACCGAATATTACAGCATTTAACAATATATATTCCCTGTTTATGGGTTGCTGGGATGCAGAAATTACATGCCTGTGGACTGTGGTATATATACAAAAATACCAATATACTCTTTTCCTTGCCTAAATATTCCCTTTTCTTCTAGTATGAAATCAAACAACTCCAAGCCTACCTTGGTGGAGGCACTTTGTCTGGTGATCCTCAGTTCATCGAAGCAATGAAGTCAAGTTTGGATAATGATAAAAGCAAAGGTGCTACTGCTGATACAGACTTGGAAATGGCTCTTGCCCTGAGCAGGCAGACATTTGATGAGGTATGAAATGTTATAAATGAATCAAATGAGATTATCAATATTCGTTTAGTCTTGAATTGAATTTATATTGCTTGGATAGGTTTTACGTATTTATCCCAGGAAAACGGAGATTTGTTTCAGATGCATGGACTTGATGGCTTGGAAATCAATTTCTACTTAGATTGTGAGCCACAATGCCAAAGGTGTATCAAATTATGTCATTAATTTTTCTATGTAGCGCAATGTGTTATTGTAAGGAACAGTAACTTTTCTGCATTATGGTGAGTGCAGTGAAACTATGTAAGGAAAACTCATTGAACCATTTTCTAGACTTTTATCAACTTAAACTTCACTGCTATACTAAAATATAAAAATTAAAATTTACAAGATGTAGCAATCTTGATGCACGCTAACAGGAAAAAATACCAAGACTCGCTTTGCCACGTTACTATCAAGGTAAACAGATCACTTGGCCACATTAGGTGACGCCAATTCAATTTCATCACAGTAAACTTGACTGCAAATTTTTAGAGAGAATTAAGTGATAATGCTCATTATCTACCGTAATATAAGTAATCCGGCATGCTAATTCATGATTTTCTTATTTCGTGTCATCCATAGGAGATTGGTGGTGGCGTTACAAACAAAGCATTTTCTCTTTCTAATGGCAAAGAACCATCAAATAATTATACGAGCGATGAAGATCTCACAATCTTAGTTCATGAAAAACCTATTAGGATAAACAGGTATGCTAAAACAGCTGTCTTGAACCATATTAGATTTTACTATTCTTGAATATAGCCTCTTTAAAAGATCAAATTTTACAATGAATTCCAATGTCTGACTTTTCAGCCGAGATTCAGATGCAGAATCTAGTATGAAGGAGGCCAGCAATAATGATGATTTGTCACAGCCAATGAAAAACCTATTATCTGGTATAGTAGTATTATTAAAAATTTTATTCATCTTAATTTTCAATATTCTACCTAATTGGGAGTATCTGTGATGTGGAGTCGGGGAGAAAAGTTTTATCGAAGTCTGATGCCAAGCCATTCGAAAGGCTGAGTCAGAAGTTTCCTTGAAGAAATTTACTCTAGGATTAAAATCATTCGGACTCTAATACCCAACCTCGGAAATCGGAATAACATAATTTCAATTCCAAATCTTAGAAATTTCGAATCTTGTATTTTGTTTAAAAAAATTAAGGTATAGTAATTTTTTCTGAGTAGTTCAAAGTAATAACTTCTATTTTTATGGCTTTGAGAACATCTGTATGTTTTATTTTTCAGATGATGCGTCTGTAAATCCTGATTCTGGCGCGATTCGAAAGAAGAAAAATTACAATTATATTACAAACTTAAACAGCAATAACAAAAATGGCATTGATAGTTTTGAAATATTAAAAAATAATTCTTCTATTCTTAATAATCCAGAGCCAGTCACAATATGCATTGACCCTAATATTTTAGAGTGCGCTGGAGAGGACAGTCTGTCCAATGGAAAATTACAAGATGACTGGTCAAGTTTACGACATTGTGATTCGCTGACCAACAATCCAGATTTTATTTCTCCAATCAATGACCATCCTCGGTCAACATTAAGCTCACCTCACAGTGACATGGGCTCTTCTGACGATTGTACTTTAGACTCCGTCACAACTCATAATGAAGAAAATCAAATTAAAACTTCGACAAAAATCTTGAAATCTGGAGATAAGAATTCCGGTTCATCTCTTAGTTCAGAATCAGGATATCTGAGTGAAGATATATGCCATGATAAAAAGTTGTCAATGCTTTCTGCGACTGATCACAAAAATGATATTGAGCTTGATGTCCTCTGAGAAGCACCATCTTATTGCCATTAATAGATTTTACTAACACCTCACAATCATGTTTGTTCTATATGCAGCCAGATTTTATCTCTTGTTTAGGTTTATATTCTGCTAACTAAGATTAGTACTTAATCTATTTCATTGTGTAATGTTTTTTCCACCATCTGGGGTTTTAATTGTTCACCTATCAGTCAGAAATGTAAATTCAAGTAAGAACATATATTACATTTAGCGAAATTGCGAGTTTTACTTTGGTATTTTGCTTTTATTGCTTCAATACTACTCATTAATTTTGCCACTTATTATGCGACCTATGTATGTATTATTCTTGAAAGCTATGAAGTGTATGTGCAAAAAGATCATCTTATTATTCATGGAGCTTCAGTTATCTACTTCGCTATTTTTTACTTCTCTCAAGACAGTTATATCTGGTTTGGATATGTTTTGATAAATACCTAATACGACAATCTGCAATATTGTGTGTCCTGCCTTGGCAATCACATTAAATTACACAATTTCTGAACATATTTTTTTATATTTATCTTCCAAAAATTTTGCTTAATATTGGTACTTTGCTATATACACAACGTTCTTATTTTCGTAATTTTTTTTACCTAATGAAGTGTTCATTGTTCTTAGCCCTTCTAATTACATTGTTTAGAATTTGTGCCAATTTAAATGCTGCTTTGCATAGGTATTCTATACCTCCTAATTGTTGATCTATTGAATGCCTTTCGAATGTTTCTATACTGCAATACTACTTAAATTAATTCAAAATAAAATTTCATACTTTTGATCTCTAGTTTTGCTTTCCATTCATATCTCATCCATACCAGTGGTAGCTCAACTGTAGCCTTGTGCGAAGCGGGTGTAAGAAAGTTTCGAAAAAGAACGGCGTTGATGGGAAAAACCCTGTCAGGATGTTCCTATGTGTTGGTTATTACTTTTCCTCGTGTTAGTTTTCTCCTGGCAATAATATATTTTCATTCCTCCAAATCCAGTAATATTCCGTTATGTTTGCCCTGCAGCAGCGTCTGGTGGTAGCGTACTAGCGTTGTCGACAATCAAGTTCTGCTTATCGGGTCCTTGATAGCTATTTTTCTATTACGGTAAACACAAAACCCTAATTACAGCCAGTTTGCTAAAGCCTTAGGAAATTCAACAAAACTATGCTATATATAATTCGTGAAAGTCTTGAGGGTTTCAAGTGGGGAAATATGTTTCCAACATCGTTAAATATCTGTGCAACAAGCCAACAACATCGCACTGCCGCGCACTTATTTTGTCGTCTGAGGTTATACTTATAGGGGTATCTAGTCCGCGTGCAGGGTTAGTGATCGAGTCAGTATATATAAAATGACGCTAATTTCCGGATGCTATTGAGGTTTGTATTTACGATACCAGTATCTTATGACTAATGAGTTCAGCTTTTTCAATTAAAATTGATTCCCTAGTTTAGTATCGCCCCTAGTACCGTACACGAGACGGTATTTATTATATTTCCATGAAGCTTTCCTTATGATAAAACTAATGTTATTTGACTGATTTATTTCAGCATAACCGAGGATAAAGTAATGGTAAAAACTGATAACTTTCATTTGTATACCTACAATTACAAGATCGCATGGAATTAAAGTACGGTATTATTCTGATATTAGTGGGCGTTTATTCAGTTATTATTAACCTACCGGTATTTCAAGTCACTGTGAAAACAGCTAAGATTAGGTTCAGAAGTTATAAGGTATAACCCCGTCTTAAATGATAATTGTAAATTTTTATTTTATTTTTTATTCCAATTGATCGAATTATTAGTTAATTAGTTCCCATCCAAATTTGATTTGATCCCATTCCAGAAAATAAACATTTGCATAGAAAAATCATGAGACAAAAAAATTGTCAAATTTATTTATTTCTAACTATCACGAGACGAATAAACATACATATATCTTTTAAATGCCTAATATTGTATATTTAAGAAGTTCAAAGCTTTTTTTTTTCTTTTTATGCCAATTGATCGAATGAATAGTTAATTAGTTCCAATCCAAATTTGATTTGATCTCGTTCCAGAAAACAAAACATTTGCATAGAAAAATCATGAAGGCAAGAGAATTGTCAATTTATTCATTTCTCACTATCACGAGACGAATAAACATACATATATCTTCTAAATGCCCAATGTTGTATATTTAAGAAGTTCAAAGCAAAGGAGATCAAATTTTAAAGGCTTTTAGACCATGCTGGCCACGCATCTTAAGTCAAGCAAAACTGTAAAGATTCTGGTCATTTAAAAATAGTATTTCAGAGATTGTCACATATCAGTGGAAAGTGAAAAAACTGTGTAAAAAAAATTTCTGGCACACGTGACAATTGGGTACTACTGTTACTAGTACAAGAAATTTCTTTAGTTGATGATGTTGCATTAATCATTGATATTATCCTAGTGCTATGTAATTTTGTATTTTATTCTACTGAATGGTGAAATTACAATGAGCAACTGCATGGTCAAAATCTTGTGTTTTGCGATATCCAAATGAATACAAATTAAATCTTCACTATTATTCTGAATCTATCAGGCCAAAAGCTTATATGATAGTTTTTGGTCTTAAGTCCTGAAGCTGTAAATTATTCATGAATATCGAACCTATTATATTCAGTAATACTCTACATTGGCTTGCATCAGGAGATATTGCAACTTATCAAACCAAACAGGACCATTTCATTACTTATGTTAGGCACCAATTCATAATGTTAAATGTTAATATAATGCCATAGTCATATTGGAAATTTTCATCAATAGCTTAATAGTATGGTTTGGTAAAGATATCAAGTAAAACTTCCTCAAAGGCTCTGACTAGAGTCATTCTGGCATTCCATGCTCTCATCAATAATTCATTTCATATAATATACCACTTCCAAATCTGGTATGGAGAATGTAGAACTCTGTGTAGTAAATATACTGTATTCATTTACATGCTTGGAGACATATTGAATGAGTGTTTCGAATTGTTTTCTGTTAGGGTTCTGAAGTTGGGGTGTATAGGTGATTTGATGGTTAAGATAGGGATTGTACAAATTATATGACTATGAATGGCTAATGGAATTCGGATATCAAATAATCGATAAACTTTTGCATCACATTTGGTAATGTTATCTCAGTTTGCGATTTGGAGAAATAAATATTCCTGTATTAGTTATTGGCACAAGAACAAAATAAAATCAAAACTCAGCTCTGATTCAATTGTATATGATCCAATAGAGCAGGTCATTTTTGTTAAAAAAAAACTGACTAAAAAATTGATAATTGAGCTGAATAAATACTGTGCTTTGATTACTAATTTTCCATGTATTAATGGAGTCCTGATTCATTATAGGGTGTTAGCATGTCGAAAGATTTGGCTATTTATTTTGTACTGATAGTTTTTTATAATAGTGTTATATATAGTATCCATGACATTATTTCGAGGAAATAGCTTGTAGAAAGTGTGAGCCATGACAACATGAGATATGGTAATCAGAGACAGAGTCACTAATACTTCTGCAAAAATATTAATCTCTTTGTCCAGAAATCCTGATTTAATATTGAGAATAATATTTTTAATTTAAAAACTTGCTGCTGTCTTTTTTGATTCGTTAACTTGAATATCGGTCCAAAGTATATTTGAACTCATTTTTTATAGAATGGGGAGGAGCTGATGAATGATTTAATCATCATTTCTTTGTGCTATTATATTCATTTGGCTTTGATTACTTTGAAGGTACTTTTATATATTTTGTTAATTTTTATGTTTTGTCAAATTAGCATCATATTGCTTACATTGGGTATCGTTGTACTTCTTAAAGATGTATGTATGTTTATTTGCGGTAATTAGTACTGGTAGCTAATGGTGTAAAAAATGAATATGTAAATATGAAGCCAGCAAAGACCAATCTTGTCTAATAAATATATAGTATAGAAAAACAATACATTAACCATGCAACCTGGGATACACACCACTAAGTGTGGAAGGTCGTTATATCCCACAGCCGATAGTTTGTTTTTCGTGATCAATTCTTGTATACCAAAATTGCACTGCCGCGCAAATTTAAACCGCATACAAGACTAATCAATGTAGCCCATTGGCTTGAAGTGACGTAGCTTCCTGTGGAAAACAACTTTGATCACAAGTTGTGCCAGAGAGCAAGGCTAATAGCTAGATTGGATTTCTTTTCCTAATCAAATTAAACGTGCTCGGTTTGGTTCGTTCGTTACATTTATTTTTATATCTGACAATGAGCAAAACTTGGTTTTAGATAATATAAATGAAGTACATCAGTGAAATGAATACGGTAACCTACCCAATGACGACGCTGAATAACACAGATTACCAGAAAATTTTTGATCAACAATTCTCACATGGAAGGTTATCCGATGAGAATCCACCGATTTTGTTATTTAGGCAAGCTAGTACTTCCAACTGTGTGCGACGCCGCCGAAACACCGTAAAACTCTGATACAGTATTCTTTTTAATATTTACGGCATATGGAGAGGTTATTTTTAAGGGTGCAGGACTTTGATAGGTTAAAAAAACGAAACAACAATTAGGATAGCTGTATGTAATTTTATTAAATATGTTTCTACCTAAAATTTTTGGTAGTGGTAATGTTATCTGTGCTTCATCTTCCTACGTTTTCCTTGTCTCCCATTATGTATTCACATTACCATTAAGTATCTCATGTTCGGATGGTTTATTCCAGGGGTGCACAACTCAAATCAGGTTGCGTGTCTAAAGTTTTCAAATTAATCTTGTCGCGGGCCACGCCACGTCTGAATAATTGTTGTTATAATTTATAAACACGTAACAACAAACTTCACTAGAGCACACAATAACGCATGTCATGTTCGATCTTATGACGTGCCAGGTGCCACATTGGGTACCCCTGGTTTATTTCAATCATTTGAAGTTCATTAACAGTGAGTAGTAGAAATAACATTATTTATTCTTGCGTTAAGGAGTATTGTTACGAAGTAATAAATTACGATTCATTTTTTTAAATGATGAAATGTGAATATTTCCTCTAAAAGTCTACGAATGGAAAGCATCGTCGAAGCATGTTTCTACTTGAGCTCATGCATGATCAAGTTTGATGCGCGTAGTAACAGCATAATAGATAATACATTACGTCATTTCATATTTGTTGAACAACTCATGACCACTGATTCTCAATTTGTTCAAACAAAACGGATAAATCCTATAGTTAACTGCCAGCGGCATATTGTTGACATCCTTATGCCATATGGGTTACCTCATTCCTCCCTTACGTCATCACCCATTCGCTCTAATTTGTTATTTTTGCTAACATCGCTTTTCGTCGCTATATTATCTTTGAAATATGTTTCGGATAAGGAGAAATTACGTTTAATATAAGTTTCAAATCTAATTACAACTTATTAAAACCTTTTAAACTGTTGATGGTTGTTATATTGGCCTCGCCGTCGGCAATATAATATATGAAGCAAGCCATAGAAATATCGTAAAAATGAATGTTACGGCTATGACTCTCATTTATTGCCAGCTTACTTTACTTCGCTTGGCAATTATAAATACATTTTTATTCATACTATAAAAATACCTGCGTTATTTCGCAAAGTTCACCATCCAAGCATTTTAATGATAAAATATGGCGAGACTCTGAAGACAACCCAAAGTTAGATCAATCAATCCTCTTTCGATGCATAATTTATAATTAAAATATAATACAATAGGAATTTTTATAAATCGAATGCACGCAGCAGTATAAATCATTCTTTAATACGG